CTCTCTGTCATAAAGACACAGGTTGAGGCTCCCCTGGCCTCAAACGCCGACCTGGCGAGTGGCCTCAGCATGATCGCCTCGTCCTGTAAGACAACCGTCAACGTCACACCTCCCCCGTCTGCAAGCCCTGCCTGGGTGAGTGTCATGGACACGCCCGTCACGGCTTCGACGGGAGCTCAGGCGGCGTCGCCTTCATGCGCCGGGACAAAGTACACCATTAAGGCCGGAGACACGTGCCAGTCCGTTGCGGAGCAGCAGAGCATCGACACAGTTCAGCTGCTGGCCGCGAACAACCTTGTCGCGAATTTCTTCAACTTCCCCACGGCCGCCGGGAGCACGCTCTGCATCCCGACCGCGGCCGTCTGCAAGCCATACGTGGTCAAGGCAGACGACACCTGCACCACAATTGCGAACTCGGCAAAGGCCACCTGGGCCCAGATTGTGTCCTGGAACCCGGAGCTCGGCCGGTCTTGTCAAAACGTCGCACGATATGTCGGCTTTGTTGTGTGCGCCTCCAACCCAGGCGGCAGCTGGGTCGATCCAAACCCCCAGCCCACGGCCACGACCGGATCGGGCATAACCGCAACGTCTGACATTGAGTAAGTGAGCCCCAGCAAGTTGCTTGCGGCTACGGACCCTGTGATGAGTTACAGCTAACAAGGCTTTCAAAGCACTGTCTTCACCCTACCCATGACTCCAATTCCTATGAATAATGGGTTCACCACTGTGGGCGCGATCCCGATTTGGGCCGACGAGGAACTTTGAAGTGACCAAATCAGGCTTTGCCCGATATCTCAAAAGCCTCCTCGGAGCATCTATCATGCAGTCAAAAACCACAACTGACAGAAGAGAAGTACTCAAAATTTGTCTCGACAGGGCTTGAGCTACTTGTACGGGAGAACGATGACGTATAGCAGGCAGCGAGAAGGAGAACATCGTCAGTCCCAATTAGATCTCAAAGGGAATGACTTATATCCAGTAGGTGCTGCGGTACATCATCGAGAATATACTATAATAGCTTTGTCATTCCGCGGCTGAGGATTTGGCGTTTCGAAAGACTGAATGTAGAGGGTCGTATTTGAATATAAAGGTGTCTGCTATCGTCAAGTATTATTCTAGCCTCCACAATTACGAATAAGTATCCCTTGGGTTGAAGGGGTCATAAGCTTTGAAAGGTCGGTAATGACATGCAGTGACACATATTCGATCACAATATTCTCTGCTAGGAATTCGAAAGATGATTATCTGTAGTGGATCCATAGAATAATCAGTCAAGAGTGTTTCAAGATGACGAAGGATCATGAGTATTGTACTGTATTTTGTGTCTGCCGAAGAGGATAGTTGGTAAGAGTTGGCAGGAGAAGAGAAATGGATGGAGGATGGGAGTTGAGGTACGTACACAGAACCAAGGTGGGGTATGTGCTCCAAGTGCACTGTCCACCAGCCACGCCCGATAGAGTTTCTAACGTTTTGGGGCGCGGACATGCGGGGCTCAGCACCCGGTCATTCTTAACGCAACGTCTGGCTTTCATCGCTCATTCAACTATCTTTCGCCCAGGGCAGAATCTCTAATAGTTTCGTCGGTAAGACCTGTGCATCGGATAGAAACCCAATCATAGGGGCGGATGCCATCCACTTCTCTCCGTCGACCGAAACTGAGCTGACCAAAAATTCAACTTGCAATCCAGACGTCTCCCCATATTTGTAGGCCCCCTAGTTAACTCGTGTTGGTAGAGGCCAATGTAGGCTTCTTCTTGACAATCTTTCCTGCCTCGCCCGTCGTATCTAGCTCAAAGCTATGAGCAGTATCCGTTCCTATAATCACGCCATCGGCATGACCCATTCCGTCAAAGATCTCATCAATCTCCTCTAAAGTTCTGCCCTTTGTGTCAACGAATAACCAAATCGCAGTAGCCAAGATTGCGAGGTTCCACCCGCCGTTGATGGCAAAGTACCGCCAGCCAATCTTCTCCATAGCTATCGGCGCCGTGTAGAGATTGAGAAAGCTGAAAGCATAGCCAATGGCCTGAGCAATTGCCACACCCTTAGACCGCTGTGAGTATTTCAAGATCTCGGGTGGATATGTATAGGCAAGGAGCATCCTTCAATCGTGTTAGCTTGATCTGCATCGTCTTCGAGGCTATAACGAGGCTTACCAGCTGAAAGACACGGCCAAAAGAAATAAGCCCACAACAGCGATGGCGCCAATGGCATATCGATGGTCGTCGGGATGTTGGTCTGCAAGGTACGAAAGGCCGGAAAGAATAGCAAAGAGGACGACAGTTGCAGCTGTGCCAAAGACTAGACATATACTGTGAATCACACGCGTCACACTGATCAAAGTAGCAAAACTTACTAAGAGCCTTACGAGTGCCGATCTTGTCAATGACGAAGACGCCGGCAAGGCTGCAAAAGGCGTTCCATAACAGTAGGCCCATGTTCACCTGGATGATAGTACCGTAGTTTTCAATTCCTAGTCCGGCAATTAGGAAGGATGAGAAGTATCTGGGTGTGCATAAGTTGGCGGCAGCTCGCGCATCATTGGAAGGACGTGTAGACTTACAGAATGGCGTTTGCCCCTATAATTTGATAGCAAATATTTATCAGCACGGCGATGATGAATCTTTTCAGATTGGAAGCTTTCGTTAGATGTTAGTCTGAGACCTGGATAGAGGAACAGGGACCCGCTTTACCAGGCGCGATGAGTTCTTTCCAGCCACCGTCGTGTTGCTCTTCATGTTCCAAAGTTCCCATGATCTCCTGAGTCTCTGCGATCACCAAGGGATGTTGGCGATCTCCGTTGGCATGCAGACGAGCAAGAATTTCGATGGCCTAAACAGTTTTAGACACAAAGGTTCGGCCTATATCACATACAGCTACATACTTCTTCAGTGCGGCCCTTGTGGAAGAGCCATCGTGGGCTCTCGTCAACGAATGGTAGGAGGCATAGAGCAAGGACAGATGGCACCGCTTCTCCCTTTATACAACAAGTCAGCTACGGTCTGCGTCGTCATCAAAAGTCACTCACAAGCATGATTCCACGCCACGCCCAGTTCGACTGCTTATCCCATATCCCTAAAAAGATGCATGTAGTGAAAAAAGCGGTAAATGGCGCGGAGACTAGCACGGCGTTGGCCAGCATTGATTTATATCTGGGCGCTCCCAGCTCCATAACCCACATGGGCGGCACAGAACCGTTGATCAAAGTAGCAAAGCCGATGAGAAAGCGACCGCAGACGAGTTGTGCAACTGAGGAACATGTGTGTAAGTGAAGGTCCTGGTGAGAGAGAAGCCGACATGTCGCACTCACCTTTAGTTGCGGATGCTTCTAATATGACGCCTATGATGATGCTCGTAGCGCCTAGCCCAAGACCAGTCTTGCGCCCCCAGCGATCGACGAGGTGGCCAACAACGGGAGCGCCAACGATGCACCCGGCGCTGATGATGGCAGCATTGAGACCGACCATATCACTATTGAGTTCAAAATCTGTTTCAGTTTGTCAATTAAGGTGGCTCATTTTATACCAGATGTGATGTTAGTCAACCCACGTTGTCGGTACGGCACGACGGCGTTCAGGTTGTTGATCATGGCGGCATCGTAGGAGATAATGCAAATGCTGAAAACTGCCTCGCAAAAGATCAGCGCATACGAAAGAGTACTGCCCAGTTTCAGCGAAGCCATATTTGCGCAACGTGTTTCGAATGACTGTGCCTCAACGATTTCGATAAAAATTCCGATGAAGCACTGACATTGCCTGGGTTTGCAAAGATGTAGCAAGTGTAGATAGCCTCAACTAATGTGGGGTGGAGACGACACCCGACATGGGCTCTTTTTATAGCCATAGCTTCAACGGCTTTGGAGTAGAGCACAGCTTGCCTCTTTCAACCCCCCCCCCCCCTTCGACTCAGCTAGATAAGCATAGTATACGGCAGAGCCTGGCATTAATGTCCAGGGTCAAGGAAGAGGAATCCGTAGCTATTCCCAAGTTATCGCAACCTTTTGAGTGGCTTACCCGCAGAAGACAAGTAAATCTGAGCACACCTGGCAGCTTATCAGCGAGAGAAGTGCCTACGGCCCAGCTTGAGCCAATCAGGGAACCGTGGTTGACGTTAACCGTGGTTGACGTTTATCAATTCCATCGGTGTATTTTCCCCGGATTCCCCGAACTTTCCCAGGCGCTGAAATTGGCCGGGCACTGCCAATCATCTATGAGTGTCGCTTTATGCTGTGCTTTGCTATCGCACTCATCTTCGACAGACTGACCCCGATTGCTCGGATTGAATAATGATAACCTATGATAGGACGGCTATTGAGTGCATCAGTTCCGAATCCGCGAGAAAGCAGCATTGGGGTTGTTTGACATCGAATGCCTGATGGCAAAAAACTGGGTTTCCATGAGCCAAGCATGAGGTCGGTCTGTAACGCATTGACAAATGAGTGTTCTTTCCAGACCATTGCAAACCCGAGATATCGATTGGCAACAACCAGTATGCATCCTCAAAAAGGAGGGAGAAGGTCTCTGTTCCTCTCAGAACGCCACATATACTATTCTAGCTCGAGGTATCTCAGATTCTCATGGCTGGCCGTAGTCAGTAGAGATAACGACAATATCGACGCCGATATGGCAGATTAATGATCACATGAGTTTCGTGAAGGCAACTTGACTAATCTAACTACGAGAGCCAGGCGTATCTGATCACAGAGTGGTGTGGCCGATTCCTTACATGAAGACAGGATTCGGGCGGGCATTCGGGCGTCGGGCATGGGGCCGAGGTCTGTCTTGCTGTATGTCTGGAAAGTTTCGGTTAGTAGGCGTTCGATGATTGATTATAGTGAATCATGGCATAACAGTGTCGCAGCCAAATCCAGTTCGGTCCTCATGGTTGATTGAGTTGCTTACGAGGGACGCTGTATATTGCGAAGAAGCAACCCCACCCCTTTCCCAATTGCTCACTGGAAAGTTCGCCCGGAAACACTATTTACACGATTACTGGAAGCTTTATATAGCTACTTTACTATTGACGTCGTACTTGCGCAGCTCGTCTTCAGCTTTCAAAGCAGCAGCTTGAATGATGCCTTTGGTATTACTAGTCCGGGGCTTAAACTCCACCGTGAATGGCAGCGGCCTTGGGGCTGGGCTATCATTAAATGCAAAAACATCCAGGTCCTTGGAATTTCCCTAAATTGAGTCAAATCATCAGCAACTGATCAATTGACGCATTGCGGCGAATCCGCAGTTCACTCACATATTCATCGGTAGATCGCATTTTGAATGACCAAAGTAATCCCACGATGGTAAACCAGATACCTTGTTCAGCAAGGGGTTGCCCACTACAAAGGCGTCGACCCCAACCAAACGTAAAGATGCCCTTTTTGCTAGGACTTGGCAGTCGCTCTTCCAAGAACCTCTCAGGTCGTACCTCATCGGGGTAAGGATAGTCTCGTGGATTGCGATGGATGGCCCAAAGGTTTCCAATAATCGAAGTACCTCTGGGAATAAACATGCCCTTGTAGGAATCGTCGTGAACAGGTGCATGAGGGGGACCTCCAAGTGCAATCGCGGCTCGCCAGCGGAATATTTCCGTAAGAAGCGCCTTGCAGTATGGAAGAGAGTCCTCATCTGCCCAAGTAGGGGGTTCGCCTGCCAGGACGCGATCAATTTCCTCCTGTGCCTTCTGCTGAACGCGCGGGAAGGCACACATGGCGAAGATGAAGACGATGATAGTGGTCGTCGTGGTATCTACGCCACCTCCGATCAAATTACCTGTCAGACTGGCGATTTCTTTAGGAGATAACTTGTTGTTGTTCTCCTGGTCCTGGATGAGACGCTTGGAGAAGCTATCCTGTTCAAGTTGAGCCCCTTCGACGGTAAGGGCATAGAAGTATTTTAGCAATTTTTGCCCCTCATCCCATATCATGGAAGGAAACGGGTAGATACGTTTAGGAAGCTTGCTGATCCATGGATAGGCCTCGACTAAATATTGAGCCGGTGCGGAAAAGCCAGCCCCTGTCTGCACGAATGATAACGCAAGCTTAGCAAGATCGTCATCCATCGATCGAACTCGACGGCCCCATCCGATAATGGCGGCAACTGAGCATGCGTATCGCTCAATAGCCGAGACGAACTGCTGGGTCTCCATGATATCACGAATCAATATCTTGGACTCGTTGGCCTGGAATGTTCGGTGTCCCCGAACGGCTTGGCTGCCAACTACGGTATGCTGGAAGGCCGTCAATAAAAGACAACGCAGGTAGCAACAATATCGCTATAGGCAACTGACCGTGATACGTCGATGTAAACGCCATTTGTCTCCATATACGAGGCTGGTCTGATTGTTTTCTGTTTCGTCAAATGCATCGGCTAGGTAGGAATGTGGACGCGACGAATAGATTTGGGCTCGTTTGTCCAATAAATCCGACGCTGCCCAACAGTCGTTTACAACGATCGTCGGACGGTTTCCCGTCCAAATAGTGATCAGAGGGCTATCATATTCCTTTGACCATTTTTCAAAGATGAGATAGGGCTTCGCTGCGGGCACACGCCCGATATTTCCAACGATGGGATATGGGAACGGACCGGGTGGCATGCGAGATCTCAAGTACAACACCCGACCATAAGAAACAAGAACCCATAACAGAAAAACGATGATGGGTCCTGATATGAAAAAGGCTGCCAGGTGCAAAGGGCTGTCCCAGTTTGCTGGAAGGTAATCCGAGAGGGACATTGTTTGAAGTCTTGGAATAAGTCGACAATAGCCTCTTGACGCTCGACTTGATCAATCTCGAGTCTGGGAACGCAAACGAGGTGAGCCTCGTTTTCATATTTCTGCACTTCGCTTCCTCTTCATGAGATACAGACAGGTCAAAATCTCCATGAGAGACGAAGATCAATTTCTGGGTCGGCCGAGGCTTCCGCTGCCCCGGGATGGCTTCTTTTCGGGCTCGGCCGAGACTCCCGTTGCAGTTTGATAACTGGCAGTTTGAGGTCCTTAATCGGAGCCACACGGTTCCGTCTCGATCCAAGTGACATCTGCTACGCGCTCGCCATACCTCGTTTTGCTGCCACCAAGCCTCCATCAAGATCCTCTCGTAAGGTAACTACACAGTAGTATGAACGGAGAAATTTCCTGCCGCTTCGGGCCTGGCAAAGGTACACTAGGTAGTAAACTTGCAGAGTGGGGCGGGTGGGACCTGGTGGGACATGTGCCGGGAGGGGCGATGGAGAAAGAGGCATTCCCACTGCTGCCCTATGCTATGTAAATCCTACCCCGCTCCCCACTGTCGTCCACTTTGCCTTTGTGCCTGCCTACTTGCCAGACTCCAGGTCTTCGCTTCTCTTTATCGTATAGACAATTGAATATACGATTTATGCAATACACATGGCTGGTAGATTGCGTGACTACGTACCTGCTCACCTTCAAGTCGAGCTGCATGTGGCTGCAGGTAATGCCGAGAGTCCAGACGACAGAAACGCTGCGCTCCCGCCTCACAGCGTCCGTTGTCATTAGGTTTGGGGGCCAGAACTGTAAATTGAATCCATGAGCTGTCGCAAAGTGGGAACGATGTGGGGAGAAAGTCCTCTGCATGGGATGCTTACACAATAGAAGGGAAGACGGCAGAAGCCATCATCTGAACCCAACCAACCTTCCCTCGTCTCTTCTTCTCTCCGCTTCATCCAATCGCTCAGTGTGTTCTTCCCTCAACCTTAGGTTCACGATGTCGATGGCTCGCTCCAACTTGCCTGCTCGTCACTTCTCACCTCTTCGTGCCGTCCTTGGCTCCAATATTTCCCTCTTCCTCTCCACACATCCCTGTCGACGATGCCCACGCCAATGTGCATCATGCATCGGATTTGAACGCCTTACTCGATCCACTCTTTTCTCGCGCTCAACCCCTGTACCCGGCCCGGCGTCTTCTCGTGCATGGCCACTGGAAGCCAGTTCCTGGTCCTCGCTTTGGTCAAAGTCTGGGCAACCGTGCCGCTCCCGAGGCGTCCATCATCATCATCATCACGCCAGCCATCTTTGACGACCATTGCGGGGCTCCTACCGAAAGCTGTGCCGCTCTGTTGCCAGGGAAGTCCTTTGCCCGGAGACCTTGCTCTACTGTGTAGAGAAGGATGGGCACCCATGGCATCGGCTTGCCAACTGGCTTACTTTCCAGAAGGTCTGACGCACCTGACCATTGGGAATTCCCTCAATACCAAAGTTCCCCAGACTCAATTGCCTACCTCTATTCCCTGTTCTGCACGTCGTTGGCTGTCGTTCGGCAACGGCGGGCAGTGCGGAGAGTTGGGAAAAGAAATATTGACTGCGCAAGTGCCCGAAGAGCACGGCGCAGATGAAGCCACTGGCCCCGCGTCCTCAACTCCCCGTCAACCGTCAACACAAGATGGCGGGGCATGCGACAACATTGCGAGGTAGCCAACTTCCTGCTGACTGTCAGCGCTCACCCATGTTCCATGGCGCCACCCCGACGCGGCTTATTCGCACAGATTTAAGAGGCTGGAGCCTTTGTCGCATGCACCATATGATCCGTTTGTCATAGCTTCGATTCTCGATTCCCAATGCTCAATGCTCTTGAGCCGCTCCTTGTCAGTCGCTCCTGCCGACACGCGACTAACACACCCGAGCCATTATGGCGTGCTTTGCTTATCAGATAGCTTCTTCATCGACTCTAAAGTCGCCGGCGTCTCGCACCAGCAAATGCCTGCCCTCCCGGGGCCATGTTTTGGGGCTATCGGTATTAGCTGTTGCTATTCCTGATAGAAACCAACACATCAGACTTCAGTCTAGGGCGGCTGGTCCTAGCTGGGGCGAGTCAGGGGTACCCCGCGGGAAACATTGGGCCACTTGGACGATCACTGGATCGTCCTCTGGCAATGGCGGCACTTGGGGAACTTGTGCCGAGCTTTGGTTATCAACCTACGAGCACGCCAGCTTCACGGGCAACAAGCTGCTTCACGTCTTGGCTGCCAAGGGCACAGTCGGGCAATGGCTCAGCCCGCTCTATTTAACCCGACGATGGTTTTTTTTGGAGTATTTCGAAGGGCATGCATCTTCCAAGCAAGGCTAGTAAACGGATGACCGAGGTCTAGTTTGTAAACATTATTTCTCTTGGATTTGCCCGGCGCTGGCCTGGTTACCGCTGTCTTGGCTCTTTTCCAGAATTTTGGCGGCCACACCAAAACAAGTTTTGTGCTCATTCGGAGCCGGCCCCTGGATCTGGTTGGACGCGTTCCTGTACACCAACGACTTGGACTGCATTACTGGTGCGTCTCTTCATTGGATGTTTCCCGCGAGCTGCAGGTCTTGAGCTTGGTGCCACGACATGGACACGAGCCCCCCTCGAGGACACAGCAAGCATCGAGCTACGTCTGTCCGACATTAAGAAACTTATGCGCCGGTCGAGTCCGCCTCATACCCAGCTTCTGACGGCGGAAATTTAATCAAAAGTAGATGCGGCTAGAAAAGAACTGACAGCGCAAGGCTCAACATCTATCAGCAATACGAAGACGCCGCTCCTTGCTGGCGCTCAACTTTGCTGCTACTCGGGTATACTTGATCGGTCAAGTCTCAAGAAAGAACGCGGTTGTGTGAAGCAACTAAGGCACAGATGGTCCAAAGTGAGGGGGTTTCTTCGATCGCCAGCGAACATTTTCGTCACCTCGCGGCCTGCAGTGCTGCCTTGCCCGCCTTTTCGAGCATCTAGTCAGACAGGATTGACGAAAAGCCCTGGAAATGTTGGCATGCCTTGCTCGCAGCCAGTGTCGTGTCAATAAGGCTATCATTGGGCCAAGGGATTCCCAAAGCTCACCACATAAGACACCTGGATTATATTAAATGCCCCTCCTTGTGCCGTCATCATCAGTCGGCCACTACCGACACCAGCCGGCTAGGATGTCAAAGCCTGAGCTGACAGCCTTGACAACGGCATCACGGCCGGGGCAACATGGCCAGCCGGGGGATGGCGGTCTGCCTACCTAGTCGTCTTTCTGCAAGCTGCAATGCCATCGGCCCTAGTCAATACTCGCGCTCTTATTCGTTCAAGTCATCACATAAGCTACCCGTCTGACGGCCAAAAGCGACATGGGTGTCGCTGAACCTTGTCGAGCCTCGCCGTCCTCGTCTTTCGTCGTCGTCGTCCAACCTCGTCTCTTGGCTGCAGTTGCACTACGCACACCGGGTGGCGTATGCCTCATCTTCCGATTTCGAGTCAACCATTGCGCCTTTGGCTGTCGTGTCGCCATTCGGCCGAGACGAAGTCGTTCATCCATACACACCACAGGACTCGTCCTACACCAGCGTTCTCACCTATCCCATCGAGCTCTCCTCCAGCCACTCACTGAGCTCCAGGTTCTTCCCAACTGTTAGGCTGCATCTCCAAGATCGTCTTCCCTCGTATCACACACTTGGCGTACTTGTCCTCTACACCCTACCCAAGGTCCTCTTTCATGGATCAGGCCGCGGCCGGTCTGCTGTCCACATGGCCCAAGACTACTGCAAGCCGCAGTGGAGATCGCCAACCTCTGTTGGTCGACAAGCAGAGATGTCATCTCGTCCTTCGCACTCTGCTTCCTCTTCTCCTCGCCCGTCCGCCTGCAGGCAGACCGGGTATGCCGGCCACCTGTTCATGGCCTCAAGATATAAGCTTACCCAGCCATCTCTTCTTTGCTCGAACCTTTCTCTTGTTTCTCCATCCTCTTGCAGCTCTCACCAGCCTCTCTCCATCCCCCAGCCAACCACATATTCGTGATCTTGTGCTATCAAGTAACTCGTTCGTTAAGGTTACTTAAGAGACTCTCGCTCGAATTAAAGCCTCGCTTCCTCCGCCCATCGTTTCAAGAGTATCTCTCGTTTGAAAAGCTCTCAATTTCACCTCCACCCGCAGCCATGAAGTTTACTACTGCTCTGCTGGCTCTGGCCGCCACTGCCCTTGCAACCGAGGACCACGACTGGGGTAAGGATAAGACCAAGACTATTGTCACGGAAGTCCTGACCACGTACACGACTGTGTGCCCTGTTGTAAGTAGACCTCGAGCCCTTTTTATGATGCGGCGTGGCTTACATTCCTTGTTAGACAATCACCAAGCCCGGCGAACACACCACTCAGTATGAGACCATCACCACCACGTCCACCGTTGTAGAGAAGCACCCCACGACGATCTATGAGACCCTTCCAGGCGCTACTGAAGTCGTGACGGAAATCGACACTGACTACACCACCTACACGACCTACTGCCCGATTGTAAGTGGTCCCTCCAAGCAAAGCTTCCCAGCCAAAAGCTCCGAGCAAAGGGCATCCTGACTAACACTTCCTACAGACGGAGACGATCGTTGGAGAAGGCACCACTAAGACTGTTGTGTACACCACACTCAGCACCGTCGTCGAAAAGAAGCCGACCAAGATCATCGAGACCGTTCCCGGCCCGACGGCCGTAGTGACGGCCACGGATGTCCAGCTTACAACCCTCACAAGCCTCTGCCCGGTCACGGAGACCTACACCGAGGGCGGCAAGACCTGGACCAAGACGTACACCACCACATCCACCATTGTGACTCACGTTCCTACCAAGGTCTGGCAGACTGAGAAGCTCCCTGACGTCACTAAGACGGAGAAGGACGTCGAGTACACCACCATCACTTCTCTTTGCCCTGTGGTGAGTCTTGAGAACCCCTTCCCTCAGCCAAGACTTCCCGGACCTCCCCGAGCTAACATGATGGCCAGACCGAGACCAAGACTATTGGCGGAGAGACGGTAGTCGTCACTTACACATCTACCTCAACCATCGTCACGGAAGTTCCCACCAAAGTGGACGTCTGGACGACCGTAAAGACCACTCAGCATCTTTCCACAGAAGTCTACGAGACCATTACAAAGCCCGTGACGACTTATCAGACCATCGAGCACGGAGAGACGGTTTGGATCACTGCCACAGGCACCAAAACCATTACCGTCGAGAAGGTCCACACCCTGACGGAAGTCATTGTCGAGACCAAGACGGCACACGTCGAGGTCACCCAGGCCGTGACCGTGGGCGGCGAGAGTGTCGTGACGCAAAAGTCATGGGTCTACATCACCGTGTCGGGAACTGTGTACGCTACGCAGACCCGGCCAGCCAGCACCCTCGTCGTCCCTACAACAAGCGCCGTGATCCTTCCCCCGGTCACGGTGTCGAGCCAGGCTCCAGTGGTTGTGCCTACTGCTGCTGCCGACGCCCGCAGAGCCCCGGCAGCTGCCTTCCTGGCTGGTCTCTTTGGTGCCGTTGCGCTCCTCTAGACATTTGGTCCTGGAAGATGGACCATCTGTTTCCGAACTTTTCTTTCTCTCATTTTACTTCTCTGAGGGCACTAATAACCTCATTTCTACACTGATGCCCGTCTCTTCCGGGACGGTCGGGCCTTTAATAATGGATCACATCCATACGACTTTGACGACAAGCTCAATGCTACGACGGCACGGATATACAGATATACCCCTTACACTCACTGATGATCAACCGGTAAAAGGAAGGACTGGAATGATGGGAAGAAGCACATGGCATCCAGATGACTGGAGTAATGATATCCCAGGAGAATGGTTATGGAGGGTAATTCTATTTGACAGCAGAAAGGTCGTGCAAAACTCTCTCAGAAAAGGGGTGTTCAAGGCAACTCCAGTTGCAGCAGACCTCGGGTTCACTTCATGTACATAGACACTTTTGACTTACAGAGGACTTAGGATTCAAAGGTGGCTATATGAGCCTTATCAATATAATGTAGCACATTGCATTTTCATACTACCTAATGAATACCTGCGTAAGCAAGAAAACATGGTATTCCGCTGATGCGAATGACTGGATGGTGACGACTGCTGGCTTCCCACCCAACCCCCGGACATCGTTGCGTTGCTCGCATTGTTTATGTGCTGGCCGTCGATCGGAGCGATGTCACCTCGTGTCGGGGATGCCCAATGTGACCTTTAGCTCTTGGCCCGCGCGAGCGGTGTGGTGCGGTGGTCGTAGTGTGGTTGTCAATTGCGGGAGGGGCTGGTGGTGTGGTGGTGTGTAGTAGGATTGGACGTCATTTTTTGAGTTGGAAATGGTGGCAGGGGAGTGTGAAAGTCTGGGGAAATGGGTTCCTCGGGAGTTCGGTAGCGGGATAACCCGGATGTATGGGTCCGACTCCGGTAACGCCGTCACCACGGGAGAGTACCTGGACAGGTATCTAGCAGCTTTGGGATTCGGCGTTAACAAGCCACAATTTCACTCCTTTTTCCCTTTTCTCTTGGCCACTAGCCGCCAGAGACTCGAAAGGGACACCGTTTCTCAGAGGAGGTTAATTCGCCCACGGTCAGGATCCGTTTCACCCTTCTACTTCGCACGGTGACCGCATGCAAGCCAACACTAGACATCGTTCATCTCGGGACAAAAAAAAAACACCGTAAAATCAAATCGCGCAATAAAAACTCTCAAACGTTGATATTTCCCTACCTCGACTTCCGACTGTAGCAACACGCCGTTGTCGAGATGTGCAAATCATCGGGAAGATCAGCGCCCGCGGGCTCCACAGAGTGTCTCCCTCCCCACTGCCCTGGACTCGGAGGGACTCAGCCAAGCGGCCTCTTGGAATGCCCCTAACTGCCCGGCACGTCTCCAGCCCGAGATCTAACATCTCATGCGGAGAAACACCGTTAAGCCTGAAGCGGTAAATCGGGTTTAAGCTAGTATACGTCCGTTCTGGTCGGTGTTGAAGACTCTGAGACCTATGGCGGACCATTTCAGGAACGGGTCAAGGGGAGAGATGAAGTAGGCTGATACTAATTCGACGGCCCGGTGTAGCATCGAATGAATACATCTCTTAACAGAGTCGTAACAGGCTTCGTCTATGTCTCGCATCTCCGTCTGCCGTCTTTCGAATGCTTGAGCATGCGCGCTGGCGACACAGTAGACGAAAGAGGCCGAAGTGGGAGGGACTTGACTGACGGCGGCCAGTCCCGCATTCTAATCAACCTTTATCTCGGGATCTAGTCAAGCTTCCGCCCTAGCCCACGCCAGTGTCGAATGCCAAACCTCAAAGTACGACAACCGTTCGGGAATGCTTATGCTTACATCAAGCACAGTTTTTACAGTCGCCGAAAGTGGGCTGGCTCCGGCTCTTAGAGGTTGAGCTTCTACTGCCAAGATGCCACCTACGTCGTCGCGTTGTCCCTCTCGCAAGCCTTAGCCGCGCTGCCTAAACGCTAACCTAGATCACAATTGGGTTCATCCTACGAGACGTTCCCTGAAGCGGGTATCTCTGTGGTCTTCTGCGGGACTGGGAGGAAGGCCAGTCGGAATCTTTGAGTGAAACCGTTGCAGATCTTGGGACCAGGAGATTGAATACCCGAGATGCTCGCTCCGCCGCGGTACCGGCCTTTGATTTGGGTTGCTGTAAGATATCCACTTTGAAGAATCCGGAAGGGAGAACTTTGAGATGTTGCCTGTTTAGGAGACAAGTTTCTCGGGCTAAAGAAGTTGGATCCGTTGCTGTCTCGGATCTTAAATGTCTCTGATTACACACATACTAGGTGTCTTGGCAACAAATTGATGATGGCTCATCATTGAAGCTCTTTCGCTCAAGCCCGTGATTCTTGACTTTTTTCTGCCAGAATTGCTCCGAATTAGCCTGGAATCAAAAGTTTTCAGCAAGATGAAGAGATCCGTGAAGTTGCTGATCGTTCCTAATGGAGGAGCCTGGCATACCTCGTGCCCAAGTTTGCTGGCATGAAAACGGCAGTGTAAGCCATGAGCGCATCAAGATCTCAGTCGGCAGGAGAGGCACGCAAAGTCTGAAGTTAATTGAAGCTCAAGTTGAAGATGTATCCAAAGCATCGAGTTATTACGCAGAACCAAATATAAGAAGCTACTCATCTCCCGGCATTATCGCCATTCTCATCACAGCTCTCATCACATACTCATCTTCTCGACATAGCCCAGCCCATCTTTTCCAAGCTGAACATCCATATTTGCAGCCCTTTCTCCCTTCGGTTCAAATCAGAAAACATGCAGTTCTCCATCCTCAAGCTTGCCGTCGCCGCCCTGGCAATTTGCAGCGACTCCGTCCTCGGCCAAACGACCCCAGCCCAAGTCGTCCAGAACATCGACATGGTCACCAAAAAGTCCAACGACCTCATTGCCCCCGCGCAAAAGATTGACCTCGTCAGCGGGCCGTTGCTCATCATCGGCCTGGGTCCTTTCCCGGTAAGTCGGGCCCCGTCTGTTGCCGCATAGGAACTTCGTCAAAATTCCAGAAGCTAACGTTATCTTTCTTATCCGCAGAAAATCATCACTGGCTTCGTAGACATTGTTAGCACCGTCACCACGGCCCTCGCCCAAATGCAGGGCATGCCTCCCGTTCCGGCCGGCCCCCAGTCCGACGCCATCTTTGAGGCGTTCCGCGAGTTCGTGCGCATCCATCAGATGCTTCTCAACGTGCTTATCGGCAAGGCCGGTCTCTTTTCGACTGTACCCCTAATCGGTGCACCTATTGCTGCCGTCCTCAGACAGGTCGAGAGTGTTGTCGATGTGAGCCTCCCCCTCCCGCCTGCCCGCCCTCTCAAGGATTCTTCATAGTTTCAAAGATTAGAAAAGTGGTGGCTGACCCTCGTACTCCCCAAGTCTGTCGCCTTTGCCCTCATCAGCGCCGTGCAGAGCAGAGCCACCGACCTCCAAGTACAGGCCGGCATGCTCACCGGAACTATCACCACCACCATCGACCGCTACGAGGGCCTCAAACTCAACTAAATGATCTGTCGATTTGTCTTTGAACGAGTAAGGATGGGCTTATTTTGGACCAGGGGGCAGGTCCATTTCACTTCTTGGTGCTGACACAATGGAACGGAGCTTCTAGGTTGGACTCAACCACGGGAGCTTGCGTTCAACGCTACGACAGTCTTATCTTTCTCTATTATTATCTTCTTGTTTAATGAAGCATGCTTTTTTATTCAGAGTGGTTGCTTGAACACCATCCTTAGGAGCGAGATGACTGCATTGTCACTAAGCTAGAGTCTTCTCAAACATCACCTGTGGGCTCCAAAGCAATTAAAAAGCCAATGGTGAACTTTTCAAATGAGACAGACACTGCATACTAAGTCATGAATGTGTGTGTGTGCGGCTACTTATGACAATCCTGTATTGACTTTCCGGCGATAAAGAACAAAAAAAGCACCCATAGCCATATCGTTGTGAAAGCTCAGTCCGAATCAGATTACAACAGACAAGACAGGGAACACTGTCACTTTCCTTCGTTGCTGACTATATCATGAAATGCCTTACGACTGGCAGCATATGTCGCACCAACAGGAAACCCGCCGGGCACTCTCGGGAAGACTGAGCCATCAACAACTCTGAGTCCCTGAACACCATGAACTCGGAACTTTGAGTCAACACAACTGTCCAGATTTGTCTTGCCCATCCTACAGCTGCCGGCTGCGTGGTGGCTCCAAGTGTTTTCCCGGATATGTTGCTCAAGTGAACGGTCTGCCGGGGGATCAATGACCTGGAAGGGCTGGTACGGCTCTCCAGTGACGTTCATGATGGACATGAGATGTTCAATGCCCTCGGAAAGAGCAGCAATGTCGACATCGGCGTCTTCTTGATAGAAGTTCAGGTTGATCTCCGGGGTCTCTCGGGGGTTGGACGATCGAAGTCTCACGGTGCCTGTCGGATTGCCGTTTTGCATCTTCACGACGGCCCAGAAGAAGGATGTTGGCGGCCACGCAACTTCGCTGAACCCGGGATAGTGACCATCAAACACACCACCGGCCGCACCAAAGATGATGAGGTCGCAGTCTGCGTTTCTGGATTGGTTGCTACGATGCAGCATGAAAATTGGGGCGGCGGCCTCGCCATATGCACCATAGCCGGCTTCCCATTGTGCAAGGCAGGGATCTGTCTCGGGGCTACCAGGTGTGCATTGTGCGAAGGGGCTATTCTCCCATACGATGTTTGACCGAACGTTGATGCCCGCCTCGTAGTTGTCCTGCAGGAACTCACCCTAAGAGGTTCATTAGCATGAAGAGAAGTCCTATGAGGAGGCCGATACTTACCACGGCAGGCAGATCAACGACAACTGGGATGCCGAATCTCTCCAACTCTTCTCGAGGTCCGATTCCACTCAACTTGAGAAGCTGAGGGGTGTTGAATGCACCGCCTGAGATGATGACTTCCTTCTTAGCCCTGACAGTGCGCACTTGGGGCTCGACCGAGGGGTCGTATCGCCGATCGGCCTCATAAAGTCCTTCTCCAACCATGAACTCTACCCCGTAGGCTCTCAAGCCGGCCTCAGCATTCTTCATCAGAATGCGAGTCGCGAGGCTGTGAGTGCTCAAGGTCAACGGGTATCGCTGCGTTCCATCTTCATGTTTGGAAGCGAGAGTATCCGTGATGTAATTCCAGGGGCTGCTTCTGCGGCGGTTCTCGTCAACGTGTAGTGGTATTTGGTACAAGCCCGGGACTTCGTAGCGATTGCTATCAGGGCGGTTCAGGTCTCTCTCCATTAGCTCGATGACTTGTTCGGGGTCGGGTGCTTCAATGCCCTCGGTCTGGGAGATGGCATTCTGGACCACACGAAGTACGCCCGGACGATCGACAACATAAGAAATGTTGTTTCTATTCGTCTATCTCCTGTCAGTCATATAGTCATTGCGGTTGATGAGCTCCTCGTACCGAAATATACCCATCAAAACCATGCCCTGGCGTCCCTTCAGGCGTATAGGTATTTCTCTCAAGCTCGATAAACATTGATCTCATGTTTTCAGGGCCCCAGGACTCATCTCCTGTAACCTCGGCGAAGTGGTTCCAGTCACTGTCGGGTGGAAGAACCACATTCATAGCATTCGCTATAGCAGAACCACCAACCGTAGCTCCTCTGGGATAGTATATGCCAAGTCTGAACCGGTGGTTAATGACTTACCAAGCAACGGTCTGGTGCATGACTTACGGAGTTGCATCCTCGGGGGCATCAATGCCGTACCAGAGTGTGCCATTTGAAAGACGGTAGGTGAAGTAACGATCGCGACGGGCTTGAGTCTCATTCTGGTAGTGAGACACAAAAAACTGCCAAGACATGGCGGGGTCCTCCGAGTTGACATCCGCTCTGTGAAGTATAAGCACATGGCTTTGTATATCGAGCGGTCTGGAAACTCACAAGCCGGGAATTTGTTGAAGAGGATCATCACCCATATTGCCTCCAGCTTCAATGAGAAAGACAGAATGACCCTCGCGTGCAAGGCTTGCGCTGAGAAATGTTAGCATTAAGAGCATAGTCGGAGGCGATATCCTTACGCCAGAGTGCCACCTCCAGGTCCTGAGCCAACTACAACATAGTCATATGCTGTATCGTTGAGAGGACTTCCAGCCGCGCTGCCACTGAGGGGTAGAAAGAAGGCGAAAGAAAGAAGCTTCATCATCGTGTCTGAAGAACGTTTGACTGCCGTGTTTGTATCTGCTGTATTGAAGCAATTAATTACACCGGCTAGACAGTGTTCTTTTATATATCATGATGCCAAGACCTTTGCAACAGTGGTTTTTTGAAGTGTGCAAAGCATCACCGCGAGAAGCATGTATCCAGCATTGGACGCACAACTTGAAAGCGTCGTCATAGTGTCTGCCAAGTTTTGATCATCACCGTCCAGATCCTCATTGCGCATGCTGTGACAAACGCGAAAATTGGTGGCTGAGGAGGCCAGATCATGAATCCTTCATTGTAGCAGTCTGTCTTGTAGAACAAATACCGGAACTATGGTGAGTTTTCCATCTGCGATGAGTTAGCAGGGTTCCGGTCATGTGAGGCTAAACCCATTGTCGACTCGCTGCTCACCAGCACAGCCTGCAATTTTCTACTGAGCGTTACTTGGCGGAGTTATAGTCGGTCCTTGGCGGACTGGTGAAGTTTAAAAGAACCGATGAGCTTTGGTTGGCGGCCTTGGCGTAGGGCAATCCACTCGGAGATAATGTGGTCAGCTTACACCCCTTATTCCGACACCAACGTGAAAGAACGGCAATAAGCCTTGATGTGCAACGTCTTCGTCCGTGTTCCTCTTCGCGAGGAGAAAGCAAAGTCGCGCAATGCTCTTAATTTGCCAGATTCATCTCTTCACAGACTACGATGGGAACAGCGGGTAGTCTCATCCAATCAATCCCCATCTTAAGCTAGTACTGCTGAGAACTCATGAATGCCCCGATAATGAGCAAAGTGAAATGCGACAAGGTAGTACCATGCTGTCTACGAGCGCCAATATCACCCGCTCCGTGCACTCGATTCAAAGATGGTCCATTATTAGTACGCATTATGGAGGGCTATGACATTGTGCAAGAATTTGGTTCTCATTGCACCAGCTGCTTCATCACTCATAGCACCTGAGGACAAGCGCATAGCCCTTAGACAAGCCCGCGGTCGGCTGGCCGATAAAGCGGGCCGGCCAAAGCCGCGTCCGGCAATACAAGTGGGACTGTTTCGGCGCCGGTTCGTGCGACAGTAAGTGGTGTTCTGGGCGCCGGACAAGCGAAATAGAGAGGAATGACAAACTGATGGAGCTTCTCTCTGTGAAATCAAGACTATTCACACAATCCCGAAATCTAGTCACACCCGCATGTGATGTTTGCGCGAGGGAAGTCCCCATTCATTCGATAGACGCAAACACCTCGGTTTACCCATGGGGCTCTCGGAGCTCTCCTTCCCGTTTCCACTCCTCAAAATCATTCCTCGTTTCTTGCGGCTGAATATGTTTCATTACCCAATGCTTACCATGAGTCTTGTAAGAGCCGGGTCTTCCGTTTAGCCATCATTTCAGCCTCTGGGCATTGCTAGTGTAATGTAGCACAACGCATTATAGCTGTCGTTCGCCATTGCCCATTTTGACGGCCGTCCACCTGGCAAAGGTGTGAAACGACACGTGCGGGGTGGACGCGACGAATAGACTTCCTGTGAATATCAACAAGTTTGTTTATCCCACCGGTGCACCCGCTCATTGTGCCACTTGAGGTTTCGTCCGTCCATTCTCTCCAATTAAGTAATGGGCCGAATCCAAGCTTTCGGGTCTTCCTTGCGGCTTCTCCACCGAGTTTATTTTCTCTCCAAACGCCTGGGTCTCATGGAAAATGATCTACTACTTTACGATAGTGCCAAGTCGCGTATAGTACATAGTTGGAACATGGAAAGGCTACGGAAAACCCGAGAAAACCAAGTTAAACCCTGTTGAGAGTCGAAGACATAAAGGAACTAAGCCCAGATCTCGTGAAATTTCGATAGACTGCGATATTGAAACGAACATTGACAACGATAAATTCTCTTTTGATCTCGTAATTCCAGCCGTGTAACGTACTAATAAGCCAACCATGGAGTTCTCACGAAGGGGCTGGTCTCCTCGATCGACGACTATCGGCATTACTTTGCTTACTTTACTTACACTTGTGATTGCGCAACAACCAGTACAAGTCAAGCTGGACGATGGACCATACTCTGGTTTAACAGCGAATGGCGTCAACAAATTCTTGGGCATTCGGTATGCGGCACCACCACAACGCTTTGCACCACCGGTGCCTGCTTCGATGGCGCCTCATAACGACGTAATCAACGCGACAGCCTTCGCTCCATCCTGTATTCAGGCTATACCTGGTGAGTGAACGTCCCCTAACACACATCGGAGCTCGTCTGGGGCTTTACTCCGGTTGATCATGGCATTGACTTTCAAAAGCTGCGATTGCTGCCATGATGCCGTCCGGTCCTGAAAGCGAAGACTGCTTGTTCGTCAATGTCTACGCACCTTCTTCTCCTTCACCCGCCTAAGGAAGAACTGTCATGGTATGGTACTATGGCGGGGGCTTTCAATTTGGTTCTGCCAACACACCGATGTTCGATGGCTCGAGCTTTGCACAGAATCAAGACGTGATCGTCGTGACGCCAAACTACCGGACGAGTGGTGAGTAACCATTGTTGATGAGAGAGAGCACCCTTATGCCTTTGGAGGTGGGCGTTGCTGATTATTTTGACTGCAGTCTTCGGATTCCCAGGCGATGTCGAGGGCATACCTCAGCAAATGCGCAACGTCGGTCTTATGGACCAGAAACTAGCGCTTCAATGGGTTCAGCGTAACATCAAAGCCTTCGGTGGTGACCCAAATAAGGTGACTTTATTCGGAGAGTCAGCTGGTGGCTCATCAGTCGACCTCTTACTACTCACAAGCGGTGCCCAGCCCCCGTTCCGTGCGGTGATCACCGAGTCTGGAACCGCATATCTCGTAACTGGACCCCAAGCAGGCGGAGATATCGTCGGACTCATGACCGGCCTCTTGGGCAGACCAAACATGACGACCCCATTTCAAACTCTTGCAGCTTCGCTCAATTGCGGCAGCCAGAAGCCGCTTGATTGCGTTAGAGCCGCTCCGGTCGACGCCCTTGTGTCCGTACTCTCTAAAGGTCCTTTCAACTTCCCACCTGTAGCCGACGGAGATGCAAACGTACCGACCTCACCTGATGCTACACGGGCTTCCGGCAAGGTTTCCAAGATACCTATGATGATAGGAACGAACCTCAGAGAAGCCGAAATCTTCACGATGGGTCAGCCACCGACCGCTTTGGATGCCTTTGTCGCAGCAACATTTCCTGGCGACGATGCGTTGCAAAAAGCTGTGACTGCCGGATATCCAGTCGGAGCCGGGATGCCTTTCTCAACTCCAAAGGATGCAATTACACAATTCGCTACGGACTTGGATTGGAGCTGCAGCATTGCGCATGAAGCTCGTCTTTCGGCCCAAGCCGGGGTGCCAACTTGGAGATATCTCTTCAACTCCACCTCGTTCCCGCCAACACCCGGAGGTATCTTGTCTCGCCCGGTACACGGCTCTGAGATCAGCTTCGTCTTTGGCAATCTCCCGCCGCCGCCGGCAACACCTGACCAAGCTCTTGCCTTGAGCAAGTTCATGCAGACGGCATGGGCCAACTTTGCCAAGAACCCCGCCAATGGACCTGGAGTGCCTGCGTGGACGCAATTTTCTGGCAAGCCTGGGGCGATGGACCTGGGAAACTTGGGTGGTGTTGTCGGGGACGGAGTATCTATGACAGATTCAAATGTGATCGATAGTCGTTGCAATCTCTTTGATGCGTCATACGCTAGGAAAGTGTAGTAGCATCACAATTGAGCTATAGGTTGCTTCATCTCTAAGCGCGAATTCGATCGCTAATCACCCTCAACCTTCACCTTGACTAAAATAACGATGATGTGACCAGGCGCATGAATTCATACGAAAGAAACCAGCTTGTTTGTTAGGCTACTCAACTCCTCATCTAGGCTTTGAGAGAGTTCATCACGGTGGTTTTGAAACCCTCCGGCTCTCTTCCCAAAAGCTCACTCAGCAACGGTGACGCAGCAGCCGCCTCACCCCTACGAAACGCCTCAAAGGCCGAAGCCCACGGCTTCGAGTAGTCAACTCCACGGTAGGTAAAGTTAGGAATTACCTGAGCCTGGGAGGCGAACTCATCATCCGAAACCTGCTTGATTTGGACTGGAACCTTTGCGATCTCGCTGAGGATGCTGACTGTTTCCGACAGGGTCAATGTCTTTGTTCCCGAAAAGAGAATCGTCTGTTGGCGGTAGGGGAAACCGTCAGGGTCTGTGACGTAGCGAGATATGAGCTCAGCTGTTGCTTCCCCCAGCTCTTCTCTCTTGACCCATGCGATACCGGGGCCGGCGCCGTCATGAGGAATCTTGATCTCATTGACAGGTCGAGCAGGGTCAAAGAACGAGGTATAGAGTGGGTAAGACTCAGTGTAGAGCCCCTCGCGGACGATCGTGAAGTCGAATCCGGGATGCTCTTTACGGCATGCTCGAAGGTATCCCTCAGTAATGAGGTGTGCCTTCATAACGTGAGCTACTGACTCCTGGTTCTTTGCAGATCCAGCAAAGCCCAACGACCCATAAAAGATGTGCTTCACACCACTTGCAATGGCAGTGTCGATGGCAAACTTGTGCCGCTTTGCGTGATCTTCTTAGCTCTCATACATGTTAAAGTCATTCAGATAGTAAAGCCCTACCTCAAACCTGTGTTCAACCTCAACTGATGCATACGAGATCAAAAACAAGGTCTCGATTCCGCGAAAACTGTTCCGAATCGATTCGTCGTCATCGTAATCAGCTTGTCGAACGTCTGCTCCCAGCTCTCGTGCATGCGAAAGGTTGTTGGGGTTTCTAGCGATGAGGATCAGGTTCGATGGAGAAAGGCGCTGGAGAATGTGCTTTGCAGTGCCTCCGCCAATACCCCCAGAGGCGGGGAAAATTCCAACTTTGTGTTGCGTCGATGAACTCATTTTTGTTACACGAATTATAGACTGATAATGTAGAATATTGTGGTTATTTTACGAAACTCGAGACAACTTGGACGGTTCATCTCAGATCATTAAGTAGTACTTCCTCTCACTTGAGACGCAGAAACGTCACATTTGCCCCTTGTAATCCGTGGAACACCGGATAACAGTGAAGTGGGTAGTTTCGGTGGATAATTTCAAGCAGTCTCCTTTTCGCTCAAGCTCGACCTTAGAAATCGGCTCATCGCTGAATAATCACTCTGCAGACGAAATTTCTGAGTTGAAGTCCGTGGCGCGACTTGATTACGAGGCCATGAGAACCAAAAAAATCATGAGTTAAAGCATTCGAATGTAAGGCTTTGTTCTAGCCCTAGATTCAAGGCGACATTTTCCTACTCACTCGTTACGAGTTCAGTTCGCAGTGCTCCCCGGACCAGTCACCGGTCGGGGAAATGCCGCCTCCGCCCCTCACACCGGGAAAAGCGGGTCCCTCGACCGTTCGCCTCCGGCCCCCTTGATCCGGCCCCGCGGGATGAAAGAAGGCTAGGATTGGAATGCTAGTCCGAACGAAAGCTTCATTGTTTTTGTGCCGTTTCAATATGGCTATTCGTTTGCGGCGGTCAGTTCTCGTTTTGCTGCCTGTATTTGCTACATCCACTTTGGTTTATGTCGGGTTTTGAGACTCGTACTCGGAATGGGCCTTGATCCTTTAAGCTTAAGTAGGTATCTAGCAAGCGGGCATTCTTCTTTATAGACCTATCCCTCAGCAACTTTGAAGATTCATAGCTGGATCTCTCTGGTGCGCGTTAGTATTCTGTATCATGACGTTGACCATTGGCCTAGGGCTTCGCTGGCACGTAAAACCAAACGTCGGCTTCCCGACGGCTGTCTCGCCACTCATCAGCCGAGGAATGCAACAAAATGATTTCATTAGAGGAAACGCTTCTGATACCGAAGCCTGTGTCTGTATTTCATGTAATCACCGGGCCGAAGAGGGACAAAACCACATATCGCCCCGGCCCGTAGAACTCTCACAGATCCTCAAACGTGACGGCTCCCTCCATTGCTAAAGTTGATCTCCATCATCTCATCCGATAATTCTAAGTGTCCCGATCTTTTCAAATGAGCCGCAATTGATCAAAAGCTTGAGAAATCATCACTCCACTTCTTTCTACTGGTTTTGAAAACGGCCCGTTGAAAGTAGCTATGCTTGTACCTCGACATACATTACTCAACGGTTCTGTCTTGCTGTGTGATACCGAGCATTCGGGTCACACTTCAACTTCGTCTTCTTCATCATCCTTAACCATGCCTACTCTTACGTCGCCCTCTTCTACCTCCCCCACTTCTACCGACTCTTCTACTTCGACTGATTCTTCTACTACCTTAATCCTAACAACGTCCTCTTCTACCTCGTCTTCTTCTACGGACGCACCGACAACAACAAGTTCTTCATCCTATAGCACTGACACGGCTTCATCTAGCACAGACAGTCTTACTTCCTCAAGTTCAAGCAATTCAAACTCTAGTGGAAGCACCGTCGCTACGCCCACCATATCCAGCTCCAGCTCGTCTACCGCAGACACCAGCAGCACGGCATCTGCTAGTAGCACTAGCTCGTCTACCGGCAGTCTAGAAAGCTCTTCAACGGTCAGCTCTGGAACTTCTTCGGCTAGCTTTTTGGGAAGTTCTTTGACTAGCAGCTTGGCAACTTCATCTTCGAGCAGCACATCTCTGAGTAGCCTGGCCACGAGCCTTCTCAGCATCAGCAGCACTCTCGGCGGCATCAGCAGCAGCAGCAGTGCCTCCTTGCTCTCTCTCTCCTCGATCAGTGTGCCCACAATCTCGGCTTCTATCTTACCAAGCAACTCCTCAGCCGTCCTGATTTCAACTTCCAGCTCTTTGACCAGCTCTCTCACCACTCTCACTCCGTCGTCGTCATCCTCTTCTGTTGTCGTCTCGCCTACGTTAACTTCCGATACAAAGGGAGTCTACGATCCGTCCATCGGTCTAGCTTTCCCTGGTCCGTCTACCACTCCGTCCACCACTCCGTCCATCACTCCATCCCCTACTTCATCTGACACCCCTTCGACGCCGGCGAGCTCCACAGGAGTTGCTTCCATCTCTTTCGGAGTTCTCTTCAATCTGCAAGTTCTCGCGGGCGCCGTCCCAACCAACCCTGTCTAGACATGGGTTCATGTCTTGCAGGCCCTAGGTTGCATTCTGTCATGGCCTGTATTATCTCTCATTGCCCCTCCGGTCACATTCATAACATAATTGAGTTTAATAGAAAATAACCATGTTTAATCAAACTTAGTTGAGATTTCTCCAATATGTTCGAAGACCGTTGGGGGTGTGTTATCAGATTCAACATTCTGTGACCGTTTCCCCATCGCGAAGTTAATAAAAAGCAAGCATTCATGAATACCATTCCCACACTAAATAGTACCAATTGAAACTTTTCCGTGCTCATCAACTCACTCCATCCTTTTTTCTGCTTCGCACACTACTATACCCCTCGAGCTGCGTCACAATCGACAGCTTCCCCCCACCCTCTCTTAGATCAACGGTCGAGCTTCTTCCACAGCCATCGGCGGCAGCATACCGAGCTTGCCAAACTCGCGATACGTCGCAAAGATGCCCTCCGCCGTGTCAAGGAATCCGTTCCAACCCATCACGCGGGCCTTATTCGGGCTAAGGCGGCCGTAGGCATCTGGCACCACAGCGACGTCCGTGAACATGAACTGGCCCTCGGGGTCCTCGAACGGGTCAGTGAGCAGGTTGTGCTTCTTCATAATCTCCTTCCAGGCTTCGTGGTTCTCGGACTCCTTGGCCCAGGCGACGAAGGACCAGGAGAACTTCAAGCTTGCACGGGGGCCGAAACTAGACACAGAAAAAAGTCAGCCAAGGGCGTCATCCTCACAACGAATCAGAGAGACACGTACCCGATAGGCGGCTTGCCAGGCATTGAAATCGTCTGCATCTTCGACTCATCCAACTCAGGCCTTCCAACCTCTGAAATTCCAAACCACTTCGCAAGCTCAGGCCAGAACAACGCATAGCTAAACGACCCCTGATCACTCGAGTTAAACGCCTCATTCCCGCAATGCTCATTCAAAACAGCCCACTCGGACAGGTACCCGGTAAGGTGCGCATGCGAGTGCGCGTGGTCCTTGGGCCAAGCCGCCATCGTGCCGGGGAACTCGAGCGGCCTGCCGAGGTGAGCCTGCACGGCGGCGTAGACGCCGAGCCCGTAAAACGCATTCATCTGCGCGTTCTCCACGGCGCCTATGATCCAGGAGGGGCGGAAGACGTTCCATTTTGCGCCCGTCCTGACGCAGTGGTCAAATAGAGCGTCTTCCTGCGGGTAGTAAAAGTTTGGCTCGCTGGTGACGCGCTGCGCTGATTCCACGAACGGCGAGATGGCCTGGCCGATGTGGCCGCCGTAGTTCTTGGCGCCGGTCTGCAGGATGATGCGTTTGGGGCGGATGGAGGACTTTTCGAGTCCGCCTAGGAAGTTTTGGAGCAAGGCGGCTGGCCAAGAGTGTTAACCAGAGTGGTTTTTCTCCTCGAGCGGGGAAAAGCGCTTGTGTGAAAACATACAATTGACTTTGACGAGAGCTTCGGCGTTGGACCAAGCCGCGGCGCCGGGCTCAGGTGTGGGTTGAAGGTAGGAGTAGAAAAAGACGTAGTCCGCCGTGACTTGACGCTCCTTTAGACCCCGCGCGATGACGTCCGCGTCCGCCAGAAAGTCGAGCGAGATGTGTTCGATGCGTGCCTGCTGCTCGGCGGAGAAGAAGCTCATCATCTTCTCCGAGAGGGGGCTTCTCGACACTATCCAGACCTTCTTCCATCGCTGCGGTGCGTCGAGGAGGACCCTGAGGGTGTGGAATCCGCTGATGCCATTGGCGCCAGTGATGAGGGCAGTCAAGTCTGTGATATCCGATGGGAAAGTTGGCAAGTTGCGGAAGATGCCTTTGTTCTGAAGAGGGAGGGCCTGAGACATCGCGTCGGTGTATGAATGGTTTGCGTGATTGAAGTTTCCGAAATGTTGATCTGACCTACCGATTACTGGAAATCCATTGCCGATTGGATACACTCAACCTTTACTTATACAAACATTGGACGGTACACTACCGAGGCCCTGAGTTGGAGAAGGTCCCTCGCAAGAGGCGATTGTTTGCCAATTGGTCATGTTCGTCTCACCACCCCACCGGCTGCAAGTGGGTGAAGATGTGTCGACGCATACCTACAGCTGTGTCTCTTGCCATTTGACAGGTCACGGCGGGATATGTTTTCCGCAGCTTCGACAGCTTAAGAGACGTTCAACATTATGAAAAGCAAGTGTTCACAGTCGCATCAAAGTCTGAGTTGAATGTATGTCAGCGATCCACATCTAGCAGCTCACTCAATGTAAGTCATTACGTAGTGTTCTTCCAACGGCGTATTCGCCAGAACGCGGTTCTGACGTTCTAGATCTACATATCGGTGGAGCCTTCGGCCTAACTATCTATCCGGGTGGCCCAGTCTGCGATGCGTAGCGAGAATGCGAGATCCCGTACGGACGAGTTCATCAAGCAACGTCCTCTTGTACGGCCGAGTTTCGTACCAAAATTCCTTGCCGCGGTTCAGACCGAGGCAAGTGGGGTATTCTGCCCACGGCACACGGCCCACGGTCCACCGCCATTCAAAGGCAATCCTTTGGCTAAAGACGGTAAGACCTAAAGGATGGCGCGCCGGGGCTGCAGAACGACGCCTCGCCGCTTGGGACCCCGCAAGCCGGTACCGATAGACGGGCAGCGTCGAGGATCTGTCGACCCAACGGGACTTACCCACCTCCGGCGGGATGAAGTTTGTTGTGGGGACTTAAAGTCGCCGTCTGTCCCGGAGAGAGCCCCTGATGAAGTTGTAATCCAACATCGCGCGTGTGTATCCTTTTCAGCAAATAATCCACAAAGGCTCCGCGATATCCCCGTTCGTCCGCCGACTCGCTTCGTAAAGATGAAGATTTACTTCCAGACGGTCGATGTCGTGCATTCAGAAGACTGGAGGATGAACCCTTCAGGGCGAGGTACTCGCCGTCTGCAAAGTGAAGCTCGTTCAAGGTCGAAATCAGACTGTGGCGGTTCTTCACCAACGTCATCAAATGTAATTCCTCCCCTATAGACCACATGTGCTCGGTAGTCATATTCCATTACTCATCCCCTGACTCCAAGTTGGAGTCCGTTTTGTGCTCAAGCTCTCATGCTCCTTTCCATCTTCACCGCTTCTATCTCATCATTGCATGATTTAACACCACAAACTTCTTTCTAGGGCCGTGAAGTAACAGACAGTCAAGCCTGGGACCGCGAGGTGCTTGTCCAGGTATCTTCACTACAACAGACAAACTTCCACGCGGTGAAGCTACTACCGCGGCACCGCGACCCATCAGAGTGGCACATCTCGGTGAGATCTAGGGGCAAAGACGGTGAGGATGAGGAGACCATCATCGTGGACGACTCGATGCAGAACAAGTTCAACATCAGGTGCAACGCTCTGGTCTACGATCACGAGCACGAGGACTTGATCTCCATGTTAAACATGTCACCGACGACGGTCGCCTGTATGGTGAAAAGGGGATGATGATAGATGGGGGAGGGGCGTTTTGCAATTACGACATATGGGACACGGTGGGCAGGAAAGCAATAGACCAAAGAGACACATCCTACATTCTTGGTTATAAGAAGGAAGTAAGACAGCTGATTAATGTACAACGAGAAATCGTTCGTTTTCTTCGTTCTACCTGTGGCACTCGCTCATCCGATGGTCACCGGTGCTGGGCTGCATCTTCGATCGGGTTGCTCGAGTCTAACCTCGTGACTAGATATGGTACGTGTGAGCACTTCGTTTCAATCATCGCTTTGTATGAGTATCCTACCTTTTATTATGATTGGCGACCGCCATGATGGTAGAGAACATCCGCAACTCAAACAACGGGATCTGTCCGGCGCGATCTTGGAACTGGCGACTGCCAGATACGGAACGGATGTGACGAAACACCAAAACTCGATAACGGACCTCTGACACATGAAGTATAAGTAAAGCCTCCCTCCAAGCGTTCCCATGACCCCTCACATCATCATGTACTTGCAACCACGTGCTTCTTGATCCCGACCTTGACACGAATAGCAAGCAAATATGATTTCCAGGCCCTTCCACCACCTAACCATCCTCATAGCATCAGCCGGGCCAGTCCTGTCAACCCTCGTGCCCCCAGGCTCCCAACAAGGAACCTACATCGTAACCCTCACCCCAGAAGGCGAAGAACTCCACACCCGAGTCTCCGGTATCCCCGACATCCACGCCGTAGAAGATAAACTCTCCCCATTCTCCCAAGCCACACCACCACTTACACCACACCTCACCCGCCGCGACGCAACATCCTGGCCCTCCGACACGAAACCCCTCTGCTCCGATAGCCCCTGGATCACCACCGCCGCCTTCAACTCCAACCCCAACGGCGCCCGCAACGCCTTTGCAGCGCAGTGCGCCGCCCTCAACGGCAAACGCCTCGGCTACCGCGAGAAAATCTATAGTCACTGGGGCGATGCGGTGGCGTACATGTGTTCGTATGCCGGAAGCGGGGACGTGGGCAACGGGAGGGACGGCGGGAACCCGTGTGTTGTGCAGGAGTGGGTTGATGCCGTCGAGTGGGCTGCCAGGGCTTGCGGGGGCAGGAATGGGGATGGGTATATGGAGTGTGGTGAGTTTCTTCCTCTTCTTCTTTATATTTACCCCCCCCCCCCCCTCCCAGTCTTTGATGTAGAAAATCTTGCAAGGACGTGTAAAGGTGTATGAGCGCGCTGACTTTTGAAATGGTACAGCCTACCTCACAATTCCTGGATGGAAAAAGGTGAGATGAACCTCCAAATGTTTGGACCCTAACGGGATGGCCGGCTGAACTTGTGCTCCAGGCTTACGGATACACGCACATCAATACTTCCTTCTGTTGAGGGTCTCTTCGAGGAAGTTAAGGTTAAGCACTTGCAAGCTTAAAAAGGTAGGAAAGTCGCGGCACGGCAGAAGTCACGTCGGCATAGCACTCTTCTTTCCAATGCAGATTGTTTAAAGCTGTCGCAATTCAACAGGGAAGATTGCATTAGCGTGTTGAAAGGTCCTCTCAGATCGTGCTGTGGAAACTGTAAACCAACCATAATACGAGTTACTCACGCTCTCACTGGTGCCTTGAGAACTTTGGTCAGCTCAGCAACGATAGCATCGCCAGTCTCCTTGGTGTCAGAGCTACCGGCGAGGTCCAGCTAGACCTTTGCTGAGAACTCCGAAGATCAGTACACCCGCCTTCAGCTCGCTTCCTTGGTCACTCTGCATAATTCCAGTCATCTCACGATATCTTCAGCACTCTCTTTTCTTAGCATCCTCTCGTTTGTTATTCATAATTAAGCCGCAAGGTATGTACTCGGAAATTATATATACTCATCAATAATCCAAGATGACCTGATGACGGATTGCCCCGTTTCTCTTTCTAAACCTTTTCTTTTCCTCACGTGCCGTCATCGACTTTTCGGGGCCGGTCATTATCGTTGTGCTCCAAAATGCACTCACGTATTACCTGAATGATTTGCGGGCTAGCGGGCTCGCCCCGGGCGGTCCCAGCGTCGGGCCATTACCCCGGAGTCGACCGCCTCGCATGTTGGGTGTGTTTGAACAGAAGGCACATATGTACACAGATGGAAGTGTCCGCTTGGATATGTTGATACACGACCCATGGAGCCACATTTCGCAGGACTCACTTGTGGAATGTTAGCATTGCTGAATCATCATAGGTGATAGTCGGCCATCTTTACGAGGCAGGCTGGGGACGGCATCATACCATTGGACCATGTACTCTCCCTGTCTATTCGTGCTGTTCCTGCAGACGCATCGAACGTTGTACGTCGCTTTCGTCGGCGAGGGTAGGCTGGCCTCCGTGAAACCCGTCGGTGACATCATACCCCCGAGGTGATCTTGAAAACTGCCCGACGCAAATCGCTGTGATCGTTGACTGCCAGGTGCCTGATGGCCACGCTTTTGGCGGCTCTCAACGAGCTTCCGTAGCTCGCTTGCTGCGTCCCCCCCCTTTCCCTGTGCCTCGTTCATCACGGTCTCCGCCTCGCTCTCAGCCTCGTGCTGCGAAACCGACGCCCCCAAGCTGCTCGAGCTATGTTCACTAACGCTCCTTCGAGACGAATGGAACATGGAAGCCGACGACGGTCGACGGGGATCTGGTAATGCGAACGAAGTATTTCGGCTGGGAATGATGATTGGTTCGTCGTCTGTCGAAGAGTCGTCATCCTCGGATTCCCAGCTCTTCTCCCTGCGCGGCATTTCCCGTGTCACCGGTAGTCTTCGTACCTCCTCAAGTCGCGGCTCATTCATCACCATGGTGGTCTCGGCCCGCGCCCTGCCTCTTGAGTCAATCGTGAACTTCACAGCTGTGCGAGGTCTCGGAGGAGCCGACTCGGGTATCGAAGTCAAGCTCGAGAGGCGAGAGTGCTGCTGTTTCAGGGGCGATATCCTGCCAGACGGGCGGCTCGGTGGCCTACTTGGGCCAGCTACGGGACCATTAGCCACCTGAGGCCTCGGCTGTATGGCTGGAGCGAGCTTAGGCAGTGACGGCTTTGCGAGTCCGCGTCTTCCACGATTTTCACTGGCACTTCGTTGCAGTCCATTGAGCCGCCCATTCATTTTGACCGGGGAATTGATAGAAGCATGACCGGATGGCCTTCCTTGACCCAGCTCCTTGGTACTGAGGGAGCGGCGAATATCGCCGTGCATAGGCGCTCTCGATTGTGATTCTGCAGCCGCTGCAAGGGCAAACTGTGCCGATCCTTGTGTGACGGGGATGTTTGCACCCATGTTTGCAGATAGCGGTCGACCGAATAGGACACCAGGATCGACTCCGCCGGGACTCATAATACCGAAGGGGTCCTCCATGGAGGTTGAGAACGAGTTTGTAACCATGGAGATGTCTGCCGAGCTGGACTGGACATTGTTCATGACAGGTTTGGGAGCCAGGGGCCGTGTCCGTTTGATGGGTTGGGCAGTCTCTTGGCTACCTGACGGCGGCAGGGTAGCAGGCTCTTGAAACATTTGCGAGGCATCAAAGGAAGGCATATGGCGATGTCCCGAAGTTTGAAAGACATTAGGACCAAAGGAGAAGTCGATTTCCATGCCCGACATATCGGCACTCGGATCCCAGAAGCTTGCAGAAGCGTTGGCCGGAGCCGACATGGGATATCCGAACATATCGGTAGCAGTCACAAAGGCCGCCATGTTGGGATGTTGTGGGTTTCCAGAAAAGTCAGGCTGGCCGTAGCCATGGTCATTCTGCATGTTGTCGTCCTGTAGCTTAGGAGCAAGCTTCCGGCCACCCTTGTGGGAAGATGGGGGAGGGGTTGCCGTTTGCCCGTTCAGATCCGCCACGCTCTCCCTGCCTTGTGAACTTTTTACGATGTTGTCTTGTGACGCCTGCTCTGGGCTGGCCGAACCGCCTTCCTGGCTGGAAAAGTCTGCTTGCTCGATCGGGGGCCTGGGAGAAGAGGGCAGTCGTCGAGCTGCGGTGACCGGGGGTAGAGGTAGGTTCGTGTTGGGAGAGAAGTGGTTGGCATGTGTTGCTATCTGAGCAGCGAGGCTCTCGGCGGACAGAGGCCTCTTGAGGCTTGCCGAAGCAGGGAAGGTAGTAGCACCTGTGGCAAAGTCGGGAAAGGACCCCGGAGAGCCTCGAAGGTTACCTGGAGTTGTGTTGAAGACGGAGTATTCCTCTGCAAAGCGAGGCGTCCAACCGCCAGCGTCGTCAAAGTGACCCTGGGACTGCTTGGGAGTTTCGAAAACGGGGCTCGGGAAAACGGCGGAGGTGGGAGTCTGTTTGGGGGTGGGCGGCTGAGCGTTTGGGTTTCCAAAGCTGTTGTCAGAGTTTCTGGTTAGCAAAATGGCGTTTTGATAGATTGTCCGGCCTGCCAATCTTTGCGACCTGGTCGAGAGGCAGAAACAGAAAGACGAACGTGAACGGGGCGGGTTTGGTAGAATTCTTGCCTGGACGCCAGCTGATCCCCACTCATAGCAATTCTACTGTAGTTCACACAACCCTAACTTGAGCATGACATGAACCACCCTAACAAACGGAATTGTGCAAGTCTGAAGATATCGAGGAGTTCAGAGGACAGCCAAAGGAAGACCAGGGGTACAATCGGCGGCTTGGGGGTCGGGGGAAGCGAAGAATGAGTGCTGTCGATTGGTCGGTTGGTGAATGTGAGGTAGGTAGGTAGGTAGATATCAGGCGGGGGCGACGTCAGATGCGTATATCATTGATCATTACAGAAGGTCCAAGACGGCAATTTCATGGGGAGAAAACTGATTACACCGGATGGCGAAGAGCTGGCGTGAGCAAGAGGATTGTATGCGTAAGGTGTCGGAGGAACTCGAGCCTGGGGGAGGTTGGGAGTCGAGGGGAAGTTTGTGAAAAGGGAGGTCCGTGAGGTGCGGCGCGGAAAGCGTATCGGGACTCTCTGTAGAGCAGAGCGGTGGGAGCGTGATTACAGAAGCAGATGAAATATCTAGTCGTCAGAATCGTAACACGGCAGATGCGAAGACTGGTCTGCAGCGAAGGGCGCTTCCTGGTTCAAGCAGAAGGCAGAATCCAGAAGAGGCAGCACAAGAAGGGGGAAGAAGAGAGATGGTGAAGAAGTGCTAAGGAGCGTCCAGGAACCAATCGTTCACTTTGTGGGAGGGAGAGGATAGGTAGAGTGTGCAAAAGACCAACACCTGGGAAACGAAATGGTCAGGTAAGGTACCTAAGAGCAGCAGCAGCCGCAGCCGATGCAGTAATTAATGGCAAGGTACTGCATAACCAGGTGAGGAAAGGTAACCTCAGGACGGCGCACAATTGTGCCTCAATGCTAGGTACTAGGTACGTAGATATTGGCAGTTGGCAGATGGCAGATGGCAAGCCGCAAGCCAAGGTACCTCAAGGCAGGTAGAGATGGCCTGTTCTCTCTCTCTCTCTCTCTCTCTCTCTCTCTCTTTCTCGTTGGAGTTGGCTATTTTTTATTCCTTAATTCATCTCCGTAGGGATGCAGAAATACACAGAGAGGAACAACCTGGGGTGGAAATGCAAGGAAGTACCTCGAGTTAAGGTCGTGGGACGGTACGTATCCCTAGCAGTAAGCATATCTCATTGGGCGAGGCTTGACAAGATAGCGGGATGGGAGCACTGTCCAGGAGAGCACAGCGCACTTAGTGAGACTTCGCTGCTCGCCTACAATTTACCATTAAAACTCAGATGCGAAAGTTACAGGCGCTTCGTCCGACTGACTGCCCATGTTGCTGGGAGCTTCCCGGTGGATAGACTGCTAAGTGCTCTGCTATTTCGTAATTAGATTATAGGGCCAATTAGACAAACGAAACAATCTCTGACTACACGTGCCTAACCCTAGATATTCTGTTTCTTTCTCTCTGGCTTCTCTTCCACAGAAGACAAAGACCAAAGGGAAAGCCACATGTGTTGAGTCCAGTCTGACCAGATCGCCACGACGCCCCCTAACGGCGTTGGCTTCCAGGCTAGAAGCTGACCGATGAGGGGAAACTCGGCCAACGCCATGGAGGAAAAGATAGGCCAACGTGGCTTAACAAGGAGGCCGGAAGGGTGTCCTTGGGCACCTGTGCTGACAGCTGTAGCGTTTGGTGATGGGCAAGTACAGATAGCAGAGGTTGTGACTAAGATACTCTGTAGGCTCTGGTCGCCGAGCCAGAGCGCAACTTGTGCCAACTGAAACAGCCCACGGTACCAACTGCAAAGGGGGCTCTTTACCCTGCCTGCAGTCTCTGTTTTCCTTGGTGACCAGATGTGTCGTTGTCGAGATCCTCTTCTCCTTGGACAGACGCCAGCGCCTATCTAGGGTTTCAACGTGGGCAAACACGGGATGAGGGCGGCACACAAGCTTCGACCGGCGTCGTCGTCCTGGGGAGCCAAGCCAGAGAATACAGCGAACCAACGACCTTCGAGGCCCCGTCTAAAGGGAATGGCGCAATCAGATGGCATGAACGGGCTTGCCAGGCACGGGCACAGTGGTGGGTGGTGTAGTGGTCTGCTGGGGTTCATGTTTGATCCGGGCGGCGGCTAACACAGCTAATGTACTACTGTTAGTGGCTATCGTTCACTGCTGTGTTGCTTCGGCGATGGGAGAGCAGCTCATGTACTCCGTACGGTGTACCTCTCTGTGCACTTTTGCCGACAAGAGATATGCGATGAACCCCCCTCCAGGTCCTCTGTGTGAGTAGGGAGGCTGAAGAAGGGGCCGGTTCAAGGATGTTCCTGCTGAAAATGGGCATGTCTCGGGGATGGGGAGGAGGGAAATGGGAGCAAAGGCATGCAAATCAGCATCCGTCTAACCACATGGGAATTGCCCTGGCCTGATCTTGGCCTGACTTGCCCCCCCGATCTGAGCCCTGTAAGCTATACTCCCTGGTCTTTCCCGTCTCTCACTCGCTCGGTCTCCGAACCTCGATTCATACATTCCTTGAGAATGGTGACAGTCACCACCTACGTCTCAGCTATCTGTAAGGATAGCTTATTAAAGTTGCTTCCGCATTCTTGCTGCTCTGTTCCAAGAGTTGCTGATGGCAGTTGCTGATGCGGTTGCCGAGACAAGTTAGCCGGTTGCTGGTTGCAACGGGGCTCGGCTGTCCATCGAAGCGAAATGTAGAATGCGATGCGAGGAAGGATCGTCTGCAGAGAGCCCATGCAAGGTACTTGACCAAAGCCAGCCATATCTTTCGCGACTGCACCGTAAGGCGGGGGGGCTACACGGCCAGGTACAAACCTTGGCTAGCCAGCGAGGGAGAAGGAGAGGAGGGAATCTCCAGAACAGTCCTCTCCCGTTCGCTCCTGTGGACAGGGAAGCAGGCACAGCTTGCAGAGCGCCATGCCGATCTGGGCTGTAGTCTCGCTGTAGTCTTACTGCAGGTGTATGGCGGGCAGGCGATGATAGGATGAGCGACATCTGTCAAAAAACGAGCCAACAAGTCTGCAAACTGCAGTAGAAACCGATATGACAGCTGCCAAATACCATTCAATAATGCCCATCCACACAGCGGCGAGTCTGAACCTTGTTGCTCGATGCAGTCATGACGAAATAATTTCGAATGCAGAAAGTCTCTGCAGCCTTGTGAGCAAGACAATTTTCCCCTCCTTCTCTCTCTCACCGAGCCAATCTTTCTTACAATGTTATGCACATCACGTCAGTCTACCACCAAACCATTTCCACGGATACATCCCCCCAGAGATAACCTAGCAACCAGCACTGGTCGAAGTCTCGGAACTTGTGTTTGGCAGGTCATCAGAAACTCCTGGGGCCCCGGCATGTAAGCGGCAAGACTGGTGAGTCAACGCGGCGCTGCGCTACTGAAAACTAGTACTCGTATATCCTCCTGCAAGCCTGCATCAGCACCAGACTACAGGATGTCATCTGTGCGCTGAACGAGAAAAAGGTGCTCCTCTGGAACTCGATCACGTTGCCGTATCACCAATTATCCGCCCATCGTCTCACCTACGAAACTTTGGCGAGCCGTGAACCGTCACGATGATGATGCCCACACTATTCCCCGACCTGCGCCGTTCCCTCCGCGCTCCGGTTAGAGCCCCACTGTTTCGGGGCCGGACCTCAGCTCGCTTCAGTTACGCCTCGCCAGGGGCGGGGCAGGGAGGTTTTTGGTTCTCTTTGCACGCCTGAAACCTCGCTGGGCAAACCTCAAATCTTTCTCATCTTTCAAACTCCCCAGATCGATCGGTTGGATAGACAACGCGAGCAAAACCGGGCAGCTTTCCGTCCGATATCCGATGGAGCGATTGAGCTTCGGACCTACGAGCCTCTTTTAGACGTTCCCGCTCCTGCTTCCCCTCGTCCGTCGTCCAGAGTTTCAGACGGTTTGGAACTTGCAAGATGTAGTGCGCATCTGCCGAACGGACCCGGGTCAAGAGGATAGACGGGTTGAGACACTTTCTTTTTGGTGGCTCAATCATCGACATCCAGTAGCGATCTCGTCTCCATCTCAACTCCGAACTATCTGTTCGGTAGCTGAACTCTCTTACGTTTGGGTCCTTTCTATGATGAGTTGATGGCTCTTCTGCCAACTCAGTAGATGACCAAAGACAACCGCCGCCATCGCGGAACAAGTATGTGCTACTGGGCGGCTACATTTTAGCCCCTTAAGAGTACCCTAACTGGATGGCAATCCGCAACAAACATCACACACCCGACGCTTGAAGTCGGTGACCTCTCTTGTCCACTCTGTTTCGGCCGCCCTCTCCCAGATGCCAACTTCCAGACACGCAGCCCGGCGGTCCATATTCAGTTGACCTAGAAATGTGTCAACGTGTTTGAGAAAGCACGACGTAGAATTTACACGAGATTGCTTGCTTCACAATCGTAACGGTCGCGGCTGCAGAACTGCAGCGTCTCAGGGTTGCTGTTGCCAAGATCACGTTGAGGAATCCTGCTACACGTTTCTCACCTAGTTTCGCCTCGGTCGGCAAATCGTTCCACGCAAGCGCGCAGTCTTGCCTCGTACCCTCTCCCCCAAAAGGCTCATCGATGGAGGGGTAGACGCAGATACGGCCTAGCAATGATCCGGTGCGGCAAAATGAAGCTCCTCACAATTGAATGCGACTTCGCAAGCAAAACTCGCCTCGTCTAACCCAAGCCAATGCTGGTTTTTGTACGAGCGGCAAGGGCTGAATTGGTAATAACGTATTGTGCTTCTTTTTCCTCGAAAATCGTTCCTGTCTCTGGTTGCCCAAGGCCGTCACGAAGATGCCTCTCCTCTTGAGCTGAGGGACAAACTTCCGAGCGATATTGCCGTGGTCTTGCCTCCCACTGCGCCATGGCAACAGAGTTCATTATTTTTTTGTTGATGCAAGGCTCGAACGTGGCCGAAGTTGCCAATGTCTGGTCGAGCGAAAGCTTTGCCTGGGTCGTGGCCAGCTGTTGTGCTTTCTGGGCCCTTCGCGGAAGTCAGAACAGCTGTCATCTGCATCTTGGGATATCTACAAGTTCGTCCTCCTGGGCTCGGCGTTGCGCGGCGTCCTCATGGCCAGACTCGACACTATTCCGCGCTGAATAGATTCGGTCTGACAATCGACCTTTGCGGCCATCCCAACAGCGCGATGTGGGACCTCTTCGCGGCCTTGTCGTCCTCGCGATACGGCGATACATTATCACCGAGCATGACAGTGTAAGCGTCGGAGAGATGCATGTCCTCGACACAGTCGAAAGGATCTTGCATTTTGGACCACTCCGCGCTGAATAGATTCGGTCTGATGGCCCACGTCAACTCGGCCCAGCCAGGAGTTTCAATAACAAGTAGACCTTCTCATCGGCCATACTATCGCGACGGAAGCGTATCTTAGCCGACACGAGCGTCAGGACGCAGAGTTGAGGTTAAACAGGCCTGCATTGTCAGCGATCATTCATCTTCTGTGAACGTGAGGGGTCTTGCATAAATCACGAACTGTGCACTCAATGCGTGATCAATCTCTTGAATCCTACTAACAATCAGTCTTGAGACGCTCAGAATGACCGACTGCATCGAGATCATGATCGGATGTTGGGGCATCACGACATCGTAGAAACTCATGATAGGAATCTAAAGTGAGTCAAACACTGGCAAAACGTTTGAGCAAAAAGTAGAGCCTCAGCGCAACAAGGCATGTATGCGATATTGGGGCTTCATCGACAACGCGAAGGAGAGTAATCAAGAGAATAAACAAAAACGTAAGAAAAGCGCGGCATCTTCTCAGCAGAGTTCAAACAGCCTCCCTAGCGATGAACTCAAATCGCAAATCAAGGTTATATCAGAGTTCAGGGGAGGACCAGCTTAGACCGTGACATGAGGAAATATTCGTAAGCAAACGATTGGATGAGATGACTTCCCGGCAGCAATTGTGACCGTGTTCCTGGATGCTACGGAGAAGGAAGTGGCTGGGGACTGAGTTGGTTGAGAAGGGTGTCGTGCTGATAGACGATTGGCTCGTGGTCTCTGCAAGCTGCAAGGGGTTTTAAGTGCTTGCAGTTGAACGTAATTGGTTGGGTCTGGCTTCTTTCGAGCCAACGCCGAACGTCTATGTTCACATTACAACTCCCAGAGCCCATCACTAGCTCCGAGGTAGTCTCCCCCTGCTTGAATCCTCGGCCATCGTGCGATGCGAGAGTTGCAGCGTCGCTAGAGACCTCGCAAGCTGGTAGCTGGAGAAGCTTCACTGGGTCTACCTAGGAAGCAGGGGAGGGAATGGATGCAGGAAGCACGACATCGACGTCAAGGCCAAAACCGCCTCGTGAATCGTCAATGACCCCAGCATGTAGCTTGTCCCCCTTTTTGCCCTTCTTCCCGGCAACATCCCACCGTTCCTCTCCCTTCCCCTCCCGCAGCCGACACTGCGTGCAGAAAAGAGAATCCGGATACGACCTCGGACTACGGTAGTTACCTGCCTACCCTCACCGGGCCCGGGACTTTACCACAAACTTGGAACCTCGTCCGGCCGACGGCGGCCAACGGTTGAACGTACGGATACAACTCTCTCCACTTCTTCCTTAAACCCCCCAGTACTCTGCGTCACTTTTTCCCCTTTCTGCAGCTTTTGCCGTGTGTCCCATATGGTAAATATGGATACTCTCGTAGGGCAAGAAAAGAATAAGCACGATCGCCCGCCAATCACTCACCCCCGCCAGCGCCCGGAAAATAGATGGGAAAAGCCTGTGCGCGGCGCGCGCTGCCCCTCCTCAGAGTCCTCCCCCCTGGTACAGCCCACAGGATATATAAACAATGGCGGGGTCTCCCGGTCGAGATGCATGAATTCCGGGAGATTACGCACATACGCATGCAGCCCTCTCAGGAACACTTCTTTGCGTTCTCTGGTTCCTATTCCTCCTTTTTTCGGGAGGGGGTCCAGTGAAGGTGGTTCTTGGGTTTTTTTTTCTGCTCCTTTTCCCATCGCACTCGTCACGAACCAACAGAATTCCTTGGTTGATCTTCTGCCCTTTGCCTAAATGGATCTTCTTCCGGGATGTAAAGACTCTTTCTCTGGGATGCTCCGCCGAACCGAAACAACCGCAAATGGTCCATAGAACGAGTGAGAACCCGAAGACATGTCAGGGACCCGGGGGAGAGATCACACTAGCCGCAGAAGAAAAGAAGGAAGTTCTTGCTAGAGACCGAGGTTCCTGGAAGATCCCTGAGAACACGGACTGTCAAACCCGGGGTCTCTCCGGGCGACAGAGTAGGAGAAGAAGGCAGGCAGAGGTTGCAAAGGTAAAGGAAAAGCTGGAGCGGCCGTTCTCCGATATCCGAAGACCAAAGATCAGTGGCCCCCGGTTGTCCGTCGAATCGGCCAGCCATGATTCACGGCGCCCATCCATTCAACATACGTCGAGTCGTGTGTCTATCACATCTCCGCGCGGGTTTTCCGTCCAAACTATGCAATGTTCTGTCACAGTAGCCGCCGTCACCTCAAGTGCGGTGCCAGAGCGTTTGTGTAAGAGACGAAACGTCGTTTCTGTTTCCCTTCCAGCACTGTAACGGGCATAACAGAACATATCTCTTCCCCATGGCCATCACACAAACACCCGTACCACAAGCCCAAAACATCCATAGGTTGCTCGCTCTGCTGGTGTCTATCCCCCTGCCAGCTGAACCACCTTCCAAAGTCCCAAGCCCATAGCAAAAAGGAAGGTCCAAAGCATCCACCCGCAGTCATACTTCATGCCCTCTGGCCCCCTTCCATGGCGGACAGGTAATCGAAGCGAAGTGCCCCTCCCGGCTTCCCCCTCCGGAGGGAAGAGCATCATCCACATCCACCTCCACCGGACACGCCGGGTTTCCGTTTGGGAGGCTCCCCTTGTAGTTCAGCTTTGCGCCTAACACCACATCGTAGTATAGTCTGGTTCCGGTTCCTGGTCTGATCTTCTTCCTCCCCCCTGCCCCCAACCCGGAAACCCCTGGCATCTTTCGTCCACTGTAGCATGGTCCCTCGACGATGACAAGCACTTGCCGTATCTGCCCATGTACATAATAAGTGCGTGGGCGAGTAAATGTGTGTGTGTGTGGTATCCGTAGCCTACACATACCCGCTTTCTTTGACCACGTACCCAAACTCCCCTGCAATACCACCACCACCACCACCCCGGTAAACCCACGAGCATTGAGGCTTCTTCTCGCGGTTCTCCCAAGCCCCCAGAAGGCTATGACTCCTCACTCCAGAATCCAGACAGTGAAGGGAAAGGGAGATCAAGTAGTGCAGAACCCAACAAAGAGCCAAGAAAACGTCGTCGTCCTACGGAATACCACCCATCGTCCGTCTCTCCCCCACCACACCAGTCTCGATCGGCAGTTGACCGCGTTCCTGGACCAGGCACTGGAGGAGAAGACGCACGCAGGGTACGGGATATGTAGGTACGGGAAGCATGCGCAGTATGTACAGATATCCACACGGAAGCACACACTCACAAAACGCGGCACCAACTGCCCACGCCTTGCCCAACCCCAAGACCGCAGCACATTCACCCATCCTTGGCTCTGGCCCAGGCCCATCTTCTGCAAAGTGCCAACTGTCCGGCTATGTGTGAATAAACGACCTGCCCCTCTTAGGACTCCACCGATCTTCGACCCATCGGCATCGGGGGTCGGGGGGCCGGGGGGGTCCCTCACGACTTACACTCACCCCTGCCTTGTCCCCGGATCCCGCGCAGCGTCAAAGTCGAATCACCTCCCGCCGGCCTTCTCCTCCTTTCCCTCGTCTGCTGCTCATCGTCCTTCCCCCTTTGGGCAATGCCACGTCCTCAAGTCCCCCTCCATCCCAGCTCGACAAGTCTACAAGTCTATACTACGCATGCCCAAGAAAACCCCCTGAACCCATCCCGCGCGCCGTTTTCCACTCCCCTGACTGACTCCCCATGTCCCCTATCTTGTCTTCCATGTGTTTCTGCGGCACATCTTTCTCGGTCTTCCCACGAGCCCCGTCCATCCACCATCGCGATTCCAACGGTCGGGATATGGCTTTGATAGCGGTTGGTGCTAGTGGGCGTTGAGTTCTTGACTAAGAGGGGGCGGCGCAAGGCACGAGGAAGCGGGGGTCGAGGAGTCATGGCATGGCAGTTCGACACGAGAGACAGAGATGCTCGGGTCCTACGTGACTCCCGAGTCTTTTGACGGAACAGATCAGGAACCCCTTCCTCCTCTGTCCCCTCCAACTGCCGGCGAAAGACCGTGAGACCGGCCGTCCATCTCGTCTGTAGTTTTCCCCGTTCCTCTCGGGAGATGCAGTAGAGCCCGGAAATCGCACAACCATGTCACTCTTACTCAAGATCCGTGATACGCAGTCTGAAGATATTTGTGAGATGCTGTATCACCAAGTTCACTAATAGTCAAAGACCTCATTCTGAAATGACCGTGTATTCCTCATTGTGCGCAGGTTAAACGAAAAAATCTAACTAGTACTGGCTTTGCCCCCTCGAGGTTTTGTTTCCCAACGATAACAAACGAATTTTGTCCCATTTTTGGCCCCCATCCCCCTTCCTCAAGAACAGTCCTTCGAGACCGTTGCCACAAAATTGTCCTCCACTTCCTTCCGGTCCCGGCCTTTTTCGCCCTAGTCCAAGTCATAGTTTTTCCTATTCCCTATTCCACCTTTTCCTCCCCTTGATATCATTGGTATGTCCTCCTCAAAAATTCAAAACTACGACTGCAGATCCAGTCGTTGGGGGTCTCACTATTTAGCTATCTACGATTAAGTTGGTGTGGAAGAGCGTGTAAAAAAGGGAAAGGGAATGGTGGGGCGGTACAGAAAAACTAAAGAGAAAAAAAAAGAACCAAAAAAACAGAAAGGACTGAACAAGAATCAGAGAATCGAAAAGAAGAAGCGAACGAACTGAACAGAACAAAACTTGCCCCTCCAAATTTCCCCTCCAATGTCTCTTCCGTTGGTTGTTGATGGAGTGATGAAGCTGGGCCATTAAGAAAATCCTGCACTCTGGTGTCGTGTTTTGCACGAGGCTGGAAAGGCCAACGTGCGAAACCAAACAGTTGGTATCCTCCTCTTTCGGGGCATAAAACATGGGGTGGTCGTGCTCAAATGAATTCAGAAACGTCGGTCAGGAAGCGGAACTCGAGATAAGGAAAGGAAAAGGAGATGAAAAAGATCAAATCGTGGATGGTTGTAGTGATGGATATTGTGGTGGTGCTGAGGTAAAAGGTAGTAAGATTGTTTTGGAAAATCGTCATGACACATTGTCCCTTTTCTCTCTCTGTCATCCGGGGGAAGTAGTTTCGGAGTTTTTCTTTTGTTTTTTTCTTGACTCGTCCAAAAAGATTCCAACACCCTTTAGTACCATCCCCAAAATTTTTGTCCCATCCTCCAAAGGTATCCCGTGATGCCCAAGTCTATAAAAAGGTAGGTCAGGAAAAGGTTCGTTGTTTTTCGTGACGACGTTTCGGTAGTGTACCACAGGCACGCGCTGCGGCGGGGGTAAGTCTGCGTGACAAAGGAAAAGAGAAAACAGGAAGAAAAAAAGTGGTATCAGTCGTGTTTGTGTTATTTCTCTGCCATATCAAGATCAAGGAACCGCATCAAATCATGCCAGGCATGCCTTCCATAGGATTGATGACATTCCTCTGCTGGACTTGGTTCTGACCCATCATCTGCCCTTGGTTCATTTGAGGCATGGGCGGCGGCACCTGTTGAAGGTGTTGGTGTTGTTGAACCTGATGCTGGTGCTGGTGCTGCTGTTGCATCTGCGCTGGCGTAGGCGTGCTTGTGACGGATGCCGACGAAGTTTGAGGCGTGATTGGAGTCTGCTGCGGCATCGGAGGTGCTTGCTGTGGCTGTTGAGGCTCAACCTTTGGCTTGGCCATCTGAGATGCTGCAAGGTTGCGGTTGTGATTGCTCTCACGTCGACGCTTTGGCGCATCCTTGATCTTGGGGTGGGTGTGACACTACATGAATGTTAGCCTGCTGTGCAACGATAAAAGACCCTTCACGATCGATGCCGTGCCACATACCTTGTACGCATGCCTGAACCATGTGGTACCCTTCTTCTTGCTGCTGACAAGCGCAATCCAATCGTTGCAGCTGCCGCACAAACCTTCCCACACATCCGGGTTCCCGTCCATTCGTCGCGTTTCTTGAGGCTCTTGGAATGGGTTGCCCGTGGCGGCGCTGATACCGTGGGTGAACGACTTGTCGTACCAGAAGGCCGAGTTCTTCAGTACAAGCCAGCGACCCGGCTTGCAGATTCCACACCATCCTTCACGCTTGTTACCGTGACCTCTCACCCATCTGGGTGTGTAAAGGTCACCCTCGAACCGCAACTCTTGCTCGTGAGGGACAAGATCGGGGTCAGACGGGTTCATGTCCTCGGGAGGCGGTGGGATCTGCTCCTCGTGAAGTGAAGCGTACAAGTCGGGCGGGTCGGACAGATCCGTGTAGTGGCTGTGAAGCGAGTGAGGATCGGCGTTGCTCTGGAGCATGCGGAAGAGGCCATGAGACAGAAGCGGCGGCGGGGCCTCGAAGTGGTGAGCGTCGGGGTGGAAGCCATTGGAGGGCAATTGCGACGGCAAGAGCATACTGTTCATGCTGTTTCTCTGGTACTGCGGCGGGGCGGCCATCATGAAGGGATGCTGCTGGGCGGCTTGAAGATTGGTGAAGTTCAATGGGACCTGCTGGTGCTGGATCGTCGGCGATGAGTGTCTCGAAGACATGCGCTGGTGGGCACCAAATGCATCGTGCCCCTGATGAAACACGAACGGTGTCTGACGTCTGTTCTGCTGAGTTCCGTACGATCCCGTCGACCACCTCTTTGTCGTTCCACGCTCAACGCTGTAGGGAGCAGATCGCATGCCTGGGCGAGGCGAAGGGGAGGCACGACCGCGGCTTTGAGTCCTGACAAGTTCAGATCGGCTCTGGGGAGTCATCCGAGGAGACGCAACCGGCGACAATTGAGTCGACGACATCAATGAATTGCGGTTAGACGGCGGTGGGTAGTCTGAACTGAATGATGGCGCCTCTGACAGTGCAGCTGAGAAGTCTTCGTACGAAGGCATGTCTGAAAGGGCACCGGACGTGGACATGGTGAAAGATGAGCCAGACATGCGTCGCGGGTTGGGGCCGCAGTCAAAGTTGAACGGTTCGTTATCCTGTTGCTGGTACCTCAGATCAAGCACAGGAATGGCTTCATCGGTGGTGTATGCCTGGCCAATCATCTCCGTGTCCAATCCATGGAACTCAAAAGTGTCTTCGCATGGCTTTTGTTGCCAGTCTGATGGAAATGATTAGCAAAAGGGTTAACCTCGGATGAGGTTGACTCACTGTTCTCCATGGTGGTGACGGGATAGAAGTCTTGTTGATGGACTGATACCGGGCGGGACATGGCATCGCTCGGAGTCTGCTGCATCGGCAGTGGCGAAGAATCCCACGATGGGAGGGCGCCGTAGTCATCGCCCATGCTGTAAGAGAAGCCTTCGTGAATGGTCGCAGGTCTGGGCCTCATGCCTTGAGACGTTGGGGTTGTCCATACACCGGCGGGTGCTCCCACGCCCTCTTGTTTGATGGGCATATCATTACCGTTCATGTTGATGATGGTCGATGTACGATGCGGGACGTCTCTTCTGAACTTGTTGTTAGGGTTGAAGGTGAAGGAAGATGTGTGTATTTGTTGCCGACTAAAATGTACTTGTAAGTCATGTATGCCGGAAGCTGCAGGGACGGGATGGGGCCTACAGCTGTGCCTGACCAGAGTCCATGGTGCTTAGACAGGAACAAGGGAGCGTGCGGTTAATCAATTATCGGGTTGATGCTGAACGGGGACGGTGGGTTGTTAGCATTGATCCTCGGACGAGGGACATCAAGGGTGGCAGTTGTATCTGACGGCAGTCGGGGGGTGAGGGGGATCCACACTGCCCACGTATCGACGAGCGCGATCCGGCAGGCCGACAGAGAAGGGCTTCCAGGAACTTACTTGGAAGAATCTGGCGCAGTGGCCAACCTGAGCGGAGAGAGACAAATAATCTCCGGACTGGACGAGTAATGGACGGCGACGTGAGTGGTTATGTTTGCTGGGGCCAGGGGACGCGTAGATTTTTCCTTTCCCTTCTTGGCTCCTTTCTCTTTCTGCTTTCTCTTGGTCCCTTTCCGGTCTCTTTCCCTCGGGGATGGGAGAACGATGATGAGCGTTAAGGACAGCGGTTCCTCGCGATGAGGCTAGTGGGTGGTGTATAGATGGAGGCGGTAGGGGTTCCCGTCCTCAGCTAGACAGCGCGGTTGAGGATCTTTTGTAATAAGAGTCTTTGTGTTGGGTACTCTGTATTTATATTGTATGTATGTATGCGTACGATCCTCAAAGGCAGTAAAGGAGCGTGATGAGTTTGCAATAATCGGCAACCTCGTTTGGTGCTTTGATGGCTGAAGGTGTGTGTGTGTGTGTGAGTGTTGGAGCGCGCAGCTGGCCGTCCTGGTTCCTGGCGGGATGAAGAGAGCCAGCTCCCGGAGAGTAGGTATTATAGATGCGAAGAGGCAGCCCCCTCGAAAAAGGAAAAAAAGTATTATAGGTTACAAGGCTTGAAAAAAGGAGTGACTAGCAGAGAATCAAGGGCAGTGAGGCCTTGGTAAGTGGGACGCGAAAGGAGAGCAAAAAAGAAGACAGGTCGAGGGGCGGTGCAGACGGATCCTGGAGGTATAAAAGAAGTAGTGTAGAAAAAGAAGCATCATCCATGAACGGACCAATAAGTCAGCACGGTCAGGTTCGGAACGTCGGTTGGAGCTAAGCCGGATTTCCCTGATACAAACCTCTTCCTGTCTGTGAACTTGGGGCCAGAGGCAGGTGTGCGAGAATCTGCTTGGCCTGGCTCAGCGAGAGGGCAAGAGTTGCAGGGGGGTTCTTATGGTGGTGGACAAGGTAACATCTGTTCGTCGATGTGGATGTGTGGGAGTAAGATGCCGATGAACCAGGGAGCGGCCTACTCCCGACTGCTTTTGGAAGACGGGGACAAGGATCAAACACGCCGACAGGGCTGTACCCAGATGATGGATGTATGCTCATAAACTATGTATATGGCACGAACTCGGGTCCGCGATGAGAGCGTGATGGGAAATATAGTTGAGGAAGAGGCAGAGAGAGGTCCGGATAGAGAGTATGATGAAGGAAGCAGAGGGGAGGAGGGCTGATGGTGGTGTGGAGAGTCCGAGGGACTGAGAGTCGGAGGGGGGTGGAGGACAAAAAAAAAAAAAAAAAAAGGACGGACAGAAAGGCCGAGAGAAACCCAGACAGAGAGAGAAAAAGAGAGATATGGAGAGTGGGAGTAAAAAGTGTAAGGAATAGCCCATGAACATGGCAAGACTAGCCAGTCAGGAAGAAAGTAGTGATGGGACGGAAAGGAAGAGGGTAGACGGTAGGAAAGACAATTGCCATAACGTATGGAGGAGGTTCACTTGCACCAAACCATGGGCCATGGGATACTTCCTTTCTCACTTACTCTCGAGTCTGGCCTGGTTCTCCATCCACCCATCCACCCATTCACTTCCATACGGATACACCTGCAAGACCTTGTCAAGACCCCCTCCCCCTTCTAGACCTTTTAGCCCCCCCTCACCTCCCCGTCCCCTCGCCATATTGTGCAGCCCACGGCGGCGGTGCAGCTGTGGATTTGTAGCAGAGAAATTCGTCGTGACGAAATACAGGACCAAACTTGGACCAAAGGCCATCCACTAGATCGCCCTGTATCGACGATAACCGCACTTGACGTATGAGCTAGAAGGGCACTTTCGGTGGTCTCCGACTAGGGCCGTCAGTTATTCAGGGCTGAGAATTGGCGAGGACCCTAGCGATCCGAAGGAAATAGTTCCCGAGGAGGTGGCTTGTCTCATCCCATACACCCACATGTGGCGACATGGCCCCAGGGGCCGAGGGGCAGAGGGCAGAGCCTAGAAGGGGAGCATCGGGGAGGAAGAAAGTGAGGCAGCGGAATGGATCACAGCTACTGCTAGTGGCTTGCAGCCGGCGGCCGGTACGTTGAACTTGCTGAATGTATGATTACTGAGAAGTGGGAGCGGAGCCGAAACCACCTGGACTGGGCCTGATCTGGAGCGGGCCTCACCTCACCTCAGTCATCGTTGTTGGTTTCCCTCCTTGGGAGTTTCCAGTGACCACAGGTGACACTGGACAGTAAGGTACTCTCTTGTCCACCCCCTGTCCGTAACTCTACCCTTCTTCTCTCGTCTCTTTTAGCGGACGAGTTTTGCGTTGCGTTCCAACCTTTCGCAGCGGAAACCAAGGAAAAGGCAGGGTTCACGGACGAACCTCAGTCCAGTATCGGAATGATACGATACGACTTGGTCTGGAGTGTCAGTAGGCCGAGTACGGCACGTCTGCAAGGTAAATCCGCCGCGGTACAAGGCCCAGTCCCTCATCCCGTCCCAGGCCAATGGGGCATGGGGGCCATGGGGAGGGGCCTCGGGCAGAGACTGCAGAGTGACTGGTGTGGAAACCTGAGATTTTACCCATGAGTACCTGGGGCCAATCAAGCTCGGGTATGAAGATCATGAACGAGAGTGTTTGGCAGGAGAAGCAAGAGAATCCTGACGTCGGGCTCTTGTTTTGGCAGCGAGTGCGGTACAGGGATGACACCTGTTCCTGTTTTGTCAAATCCCTGGTTCCCCACATGATGAACCTGGCATCCTATCCTTTCCAGCAGATCCGCTCTCGGGCTTCATTTTTCTTGTTCGGCCGTTGTGCCAATGGCGAGAACAGGAGCGGCAGGCATAAAGCAGCACAGATGCAGGTATGTGCTCCTGGGTCGATGCGTACATAGGAAAATGTCAGTTTACAGATAGGCTGATGGCTCGGCGACGGAGGCAGCGGCGGCTGCGGAGAAGGAGAGATTGCCTTCAGTCGCAGCTTGATTTAGCTAGCTGAGCTTGAGCTAAGCTAGCTTGACTAGCTGCAGCATGCAGAGCACACACGGCTGGAGATCGGAGAAAATGCGCGAAAGGTTGCGGCGAGTGGATGACGGTTTGTTCGTCTCTCCATATTTCGTCTGTCTGTCTATCCAGATATCTGTCTGGCTGCGTTCCGGAAGGGCTGCAGGGGATTCAGGAGCGGAGGGTTGCCGAGAGGAGGGAGCCTCGGGACCATGTGGATGAGGGGGTCAGACGAAGAAGTTCCAGTCGCAGCTCCAGTTCCAGTTCCAGTTGCAGTTTCCAGGCCAGTCCATTTGTTGGTGTCCTGAGGCGGTCCATCGAAGAAATGGAATCTTTTGGCTGTCTGCCTAGGATAGCGAGTGGGTTCAAATGTTTTGGACATGGTTGAGTGAGAGGAGTCAACCGCAGTTGCTGAGCAGCAGCAGTGACTGTGAGCACGAGCCGAACAGAGAGTGTGTCCACGCGACAGGCATCGCGTCTCCGAAAAGGACGACACGTTGCCGCACAGAAACCTTCTTGTGCCTAGGATTCATAAGAGACAGAGAGAGAGAGAGAGAGACCAGACCACGCGGATATTACCAGACCAAAGACGCATTTTGAAAAGGGGGGAACGAGATCATAGGTAGGCGTGCCCGTAATCAACAATTAAGGAGGGTATATGAGTGCGCCATGATGGAGCTGGGACGTCGTCAACATCGTTGACATTGTTGGTCGGCAGACATCGTGGTGGTGATGGTGAGGGTGGTGGTAATGATGGTGAGGGCGAGGGTGGTGGTGCTGTTGCTGCCGTTGCTGGTGGTGGCACGGAGCAAGCACGTTTGAAGTTGACTTTGAGCTGCCCGGCGGCGCAATATGATTTGTCGCTGAGGTAAGCATCTGCAGGGGGCGGTCGAGGGGGGGTGTAGGAGGGGTGCTGCACTGCTGCAGCCTGCGGGTGTGTGGGTTGGTTGGTCTTGGCCTTGGTTTCTTCCTGTCCCGTTGTTCCGTTCCTGACGACAGTACGTACCCATTGGGCTCGTCCCCTCTCTCTGCCTCTCTGCTTCTTGTGCGTCGTGCCGCGTGCCTCGTGCCTCGTCAGACTCGATGATGGATGCACCAGTGTGTGGATGATTGTGTGTGTGTGGTGTTGTGCTGTAGCGTACGGTGCGGCGTGCCTTGCAGACTGCAGTGTTGGCACGTTTACCTGCGAATATCCGTGAGGTATTCTGCCCGTACTGAAGTTGTTCGTCCATAGCTCATACGTGCCTATTGCTCCAACCATCCATACTTTCTTGAGTCTGAAAGTTACGAACGGATGGATGATGCGGATTATCATGATGGAAGTTCATCATTCTCTCATGCGATCCATCTCTGAAATCGACGGGCCAAACTTTGCGTCCTATTCGGTGCCGAACACTCTCAACGTTCTCCGGTCTCGATCCCGTCTTGTCCTCCGATATGCTCCCACTGGGCCTTCTAGGCCGCTTTTTCATCTTCAGACTTTTGGCCAGTTGTTGCCGTGTCTTTGATCTCGTCCGACTCTCGCCTCGTTCTCATCCTATAGCGTACCGTAGCGTACCGTCCTCTCCATTCCGCGGATCATTGGCCATGTCCAGGCGTTGACAGTGACACATCGCAGTAGAAAGAGAACCACGGTACGCCATACGGAAAAGTTGTTCGGCTTCTGATAGTGGAACACTACTATCTTGTACAGCGTGTCGGAATCCCACCCATCGCCGCTGACTCGTGGTCGTGACTCGCTGGATTGGGTCCAGGCTACTGCAAGTCCACCGGGGACGCGGGGGCTGTGCCAGGGGTTGAGCAGGGGCAGAAGCTGTCTCAGATCTGTCGCAGAACGACACACCCTTGTCTCGCTTCAGCCCCTCGACTGGGTTGACCGTTGACCGCAGTCCCTCTCTTTCCGAGTCTGTCACTGTTGCCCTCATCCCCGCCGGAACGGCCTGCCTCTCGCATCCTTTGCTTTCTCCGCGCCTTTCGTATGTCGATGGCCTGCCAGGCCTTCTCTCGACAATCTTGCCAGCTGCCAAAGGCAGTCGATCGTGTTGCCGTGAGGAACACAAACAAACGACGATATGCCGTCTCGTCCCGTGCAGTGTCCTGATGAGAGGGATGCCAGTTTGGAGGTGCTCGAGAATGATGCTATGCATCTTCGTGCAGCATATCTTCCGCATCACCAGATAACTGTTCCTCCCACATGGATCCGTAGTGCCTTAACTTTAGTGATCCGTCGCCTGTCACCCCGTCTAAGATCGATCTGCCTAGCATCTGGATGCCCGCCTCGTCCCATTTGCTTCCATACATGGCCAGCTGGCACTGCGTCTGCCACGCCACGCCTACAGCAGCAGCAACTGTCAGCTGCTCTCCGGCTTCATTCTAACCCCGTTCGCTTTCGTTTGCACCTATACTTCATTTGCGAAGGCCGTCAACCAGCTGTGACAAGCCCTGCTTGGTCCCAAATCAGACATGTGCGGCGCTGTCCGTGAGGTTCATCCCCATCTACTGTTGTTTCTTGAAAACTGTCTTCTTTGAGACTCTGCCAATACTTTGGCTTTGACGGAAATCAAATCAAGATGGCCTCGAATTCAAATACGCCGCACAGATGATGGCGTTTGGGCTCTTGTATGAGACGTGAGACTTGTCCAGAACTGGTCATTTCAGGACGAAACCCAGTGTGAGCTCGGCTCTAGTCGACTTGCTTCGACGTGACTTTCTGTTCTGTCTGTCGTGACTTGTCCGCTTACTCAACCAATCCTTCTGGGTGTCGCAACCTAAATCTGGTCTTCCCCTTTGACGTGTTTGCCTGTTGTATTCCGTAGAGACATCCTTGGTTTGGCTGTTGCGCCAAGAGGGTTCACCGGGGCTGGCGATCCAACACGTCTGACTAAGGGACTGGTTGTTCCTCCTCTTTCCCTTCACATTCAACCCGAGTTGTCATTCATTGACGCGCCTGTTTGCGAGCCGCGCCCACCTCGCCGCCCGCAGCCTGTGATTCGCTCCATCGTCTGCTCTAGTGTGCGCACAAAGTTGCCCCTCTAAGCACCTATACTACCACGATGAGCTGATGTGGATCATGGCCAAAAAAGACTCAGGTTTGACAGCCATGGGTCAGGCTGAAAGCCGGCTGAGAACCAGTGTAAACGGGAAAAGGAACTTCTTGCTCCTGTGACCAAGAATCAGTGAAGAAAAGACCAATCATTCAGCAACTTACGGCGACTTGGCGGCAATAACACGCGTCACGTTAATGCCTCTGGCCTTTGCTGCTCTATTCGTGTTGTTGGTGGAGAGCCGTTCATCCATATAATGGTCACCCGCTATAGCTCCTTAAACCATGGATGTCCTTGATAGAACCCATAATACCCTCGCCTAAGACGGTCGCCAGCTCCCGCCATCGCTATCCAGATTGCGGGCGCGACTTGACGCCCGGGGACCGCCATCCGGCACAGCTTGTACACGCGTAAAGTGGCACCCGCCATCCATCATTCGTCGCTAGGAAGAAGGCCGTGTGCTGTTAAAGCTTGTTGAGCGAATCCGTTGGCGACAGTCTGCCCGCCGTAAATATTGACGTGGCGCTAACGACGCACATCGCTTGTCCGCCAAAAACTCTGTCGTAAGGCTCTGTGTGTTGTACAGCGTTAGTGAAACTTAGCGTTGTCTTCCTCAGTCGGGCAACGGTCGCGGGTATCCATCTCGACCGTCTTACGCCGTAGAGCAGCATCTAGACAAACGACGCTCCCGTTAGATCAGACGTGCGAATCTGAGAGCAACCACATACGAGGCCGTCTTTGATAATTTTGTCTGTGCGAAGATGCAACGTCTCGCGCCGGTGGCCTCCAAGAGCCCCCAGTATCCGCCGTCAGCTTCTACCGAGCCTTCGATGAGTTGTTCTGTGGATCCTCCGGGCTGGCCGCCGACAAGGAGTGGCTGTCTTGCTTGCATAACAACCTCGGACGTTTTGGGAAATTACGCCAACTCTCCAGCCGTGGCCGCTGTCTATAGCTCGGCTCTTATGGAGATCATAGACCAATGATGACGCGACTTTACCCCGCCATCGGTTGCTTGTCGACTGGACTCGATACTGGGTACCAGACATCAGGCGGATCATTGGGGGAGGCTGACAAGATCACATCTGCAGCCGCAAGGGGAAAAGGGGCGGCGAACAGGGTAGCGATGAACTCTTTCCAGTACGCTATGTTAGTCGGCGTTTTATCAGTCTTATCGATGTGTTTGATGTTTACCATAGCCAGAATGATTCCAGCTCTCTGACGGGACGGCTAGGAAATGACGGGCTGGACAAGGTAGGAGTTCCGGCTAACGTTAGTGTAAGTTTAGCACCAACAATGGCAACGACGGAAATAGAAGGTTGGAAGTGACATAGACCGTGTTGGCCTTCGGTCTTGGGCGCGCTGCTGCCACATTGTGACCCGGGCAAGTCTCGATTACTCCAAAAAAGAAAGTGATTGCAACTATGGCAAGACCGCGAGAAGTGATCAGGGAGACAATGATGGAATCGCGAAGCCGAAAAAACCCTGCGCTAGTTAGTCGACTGGTGCGAGGTGTCAGGATGGATCAACCTGGGAAATAGGCGAGTAAGGGTGAGGGGCCTAAAGAGCTAGACGCCTGATGCCTACGGTTGGAGACTGACAACATATCGCCAGCTTTACCCGGCCAAGATGGCGCAGAACGCCGATGGCAAAGCTTCGAATCGATCCTCATTATATTCACAAAGGTGTCTATTCAAAGCTAGAGCTCAAAGTGATGGGCTTGGTATTTGATAGTGTGAAGTTGATTGATACGGTGACACGGAAAACTCATGACTGACTGTGCTAGTCTTTGTTGATTCTTCGCCAGACTTCTTGCTCGGCCGCAGCCAAACTGCCACCAGCAGCTTGTGCCCATTTCTTCGCAGTGTCCCATACTCCTTCTTCCGGCTGACTTTGATAGCCTTTCTCTGCCGATGATGCTACCGCAGCTTGGTGAGCAGCTCTTTGATGGCTACTGAATTCAGACGCACTAACGTCTTGCTGATATCCTGGAGGGTGTTCGAGGCTGAGTGGAGGATCGCCTCCCAGTGGGACAGGTCGCGGCCCAGTCATCTGAGGTCCATTAGTAGTAGACGTGGAAGATCCTCGCAACGCCGCGTGTGACATGGTTGGAGGAGGGATACCCATTTGTGGAGGGTAAGAAACGGTGGCCGTAGTGGCGGGTGTTGGGGCTGGAGGCTGGTAGGTCTGGCCTGCCTTCGGCGGAGGAGGCAGAGTCGACGTACCCGCTACCGGCACGGGGGCAGCACCTGGTTGGGGCGGCGGAGGACTGACATCATTCGTCTTCTGAGTGGGAGTTGGGCGCGGAGCAGGATATGCTTGTGCGGAAGCTGTCTGGACAGGGAGAGACGGGGCGGCACCAGGCTGTGCCGGCGGGTATGGCTGCTGGCCGGTGGATGATGGTGCGGGTGCGCCGACTTGACTTTGCGATAATTCGGCGACGTTATTGGAATGGTCCTTGGCTTGTGGTTCCTCGGTTTGCGGAGTGGCTCCCGATGCCTTGGAGGCGTTGATCGGAGTGTCCTTGAAGATGGGAATGGCAGGCATGGTTGATGATGATGCTCTTGGCCTAGGTATGAGAGGGGGGACTAAGCCGTGGGGTTTGGGCGCCTGCGAACAGTGGAAAGGTCTAGGCTGTTGGAGGGTTTTAGTTGAGATGGGCGAGATCGCGAGCGTTCTCAGTGAGATGTGTCTGAAGTCGGCTCGGAGTCATGAAGCAAACGTGGCACAATGTGTGGTTTCCCATCTGGCAGGCGAAACCTTACGTGACGACGTCATTGCTTGATGGTTGGGGCGATGTCAGGTGACTCAAGGTGAGGTGCCTACCACTTTGGTAGTCAAATGCCTGGTCCTGGAAGGTGAGCACGTCAGGTACCAACGGCTTAAGGTACCTTGAACTCATTGCTGCCTTGGAAAGAGGAAGGGCGCGTCGCTTTGAGAGGAGACAAAGTCATCATCGTACCCATGTGAACAAAGAGGAAAGTGAACAATAGCCCACTAGGCACCATACACTAAAGTCGATAGAGGAAACTGCTGAAAGTCGCAGAACCTGACGCAGCATCGCTTACCAAAATTCACATCCTGGCAAAGAATGCAGTTGCAACGCGAAAACCTTCAATGGTAAGTTGAATGGCTCTCGCCAAGGCTTCCACGAGATGCTGGTATCGAATTGTGTTGTTTGAAATCTTGATTCGGCGGAAGTCGTGTCAAGTTCATCCACTCAGTGATCGCTCATGCAAAACAAGCAACAGTTGAGCTGCAAAGCATCAAGCAACCAAACATCCAAGGCCGAGTCCGAGCAACCCAGCTCATGACCAATGGTTTGCTGCTTCTGGAGCCGCAAAATGGTCTGCCACCGCGTGGTGCTTGGACCGCCCTGAGTCACGAATCTAAGCTTCTTTGGACGAGAGAACGGAATTGTATCGTTGAGG